CCCCCCCCCCCCCCGTATTAGAGAGAAATGCTCTCTTCCCTCACGGTATTCATGAATTATATTCATCTTAAGCTAAAACTAAATCTATCCCTAGCATTCGCCAGTTACTTTCGAATCGATAGCATGCAGTTAGGTCACCATGTATATTTGAATTATAACTGGGTATCTCATGCGATTCATTGCTGGTTTTTTCGAAAACTCTGAATTGCAATTTTTTTTATCAATTATGAAGCTATTTCTGCACTCGCTCCCCCAAAGTTTATTATACAACATTGATAATATCAATTTTCAAATTAATTGCTTATTAAAAACAATAAAACTGAAACTATTACTTTTTTTACTTGTGTAAAATAGTTTACGGTGCTCGCCCATTGAGACGCTATCGTAAGAAACATAAATGCTGTGAAATTTCAGAATCACAATGAATATAAATATGGCTCGGTCCGAGTTTTTCGAACGTATACATTCTATTATTGGCAAGATGGATGAGTCCAACACACTACGATCATACGACATCACTTGATAGCTCCGATTACATATGAAACTTCCAAAAACAAAGAAGGTATCTTAGAGAATGTTTTCAAATTGCAATGCATTTATGAATGGTGATATTCAACATTCACTGCACTCTCTATAAACTCTAGGGATTGTATTCGGAGTGAATAATCACAATATCAAATTATAGGTTTTTCTTAACTAGCACAATGAAAAGTGTATGAATACATGGAAAAAATCAAATAATTCAGTTTTTTCAGAAAAAAACATGGACAAGATATTTAATTATTTGGTATGATTGCTCCTATTGATCGTATAATTTGAATTCTCAACAAATAAGTTTTCAACGTTTTTTCGAAATAATCTAAATACTTCACATTCCGCTTGAATACTCTCTTTTATCAAGTGAGTTATCAGCTTTTACTATTTTCAATAGTATTCAGTACTGTATTTAACTGCTCCTATAAGTAATCTCAGAGACAATTAAAAAAGCATAACTCATTAATAACATAAACTGTTACTTAGGGCGTACCAAAAGTTCGTGGCCCGATGTTTAAAATTTTAGCTTTTATTCTAGCAGGATGTTAGAACTTAATCCAAGATAGAGCTTCTCTATAGATTATTAAAGACAAGACATTATACTATGTATTTCCATAATAAAATATTCAATATTTACTGTTTTATAAAATTTTAAATGTCGGACCACGAACTTTTGGTATACCCTAAGTATATATATATATATGTGGCAGGCGAGTTTGGAGTAGTTTTTTTCTTAACTTTTTTAATAGAATTTTTGTTGATATCTGACTTTAGAAATTTTTATATTGAGAATTATTCCTTGCATCTTTTTACAATGAGTTTTTAAATAATTCAACTCTGCCTATTTTTTTAACTATGGGGGCTGAATTTATCTGAGAAATATTTCTTGAGGGTGCTGTTTTTTCTATAATCTATTATCACGAGCAGAAAACAAAGAAAAATATATTTTTTCGATTAATTATTTTTTTCGCGCATTCCAATCACAACTGAAATTCTCATGTCAACTGTGACATATATACAAAACTTAATGTTTAGTTCTCTGACAGAAAATTTTCTTGACGATGTCGTTTTACTCATATGCTTTCGTATGCACGATACAAATATGAGGCCAACAAAGAAATAACAATAAACTTAAGAGGCTAATCTGTATGAACAATTATTTTCATCTACAAAAATAATTACAAATTTTAATTCAATATACAATCATATCGTATTACATTAATTTAAAGATCGGAACTACAAATACGGAAACGGAAAAAAGCAATTTAAAACAAAGAGAATCATTTTTTTTCTATATGTGTTGAAAAAACTCTCTAAGTCTCTCTTGAGAGATAATTTTATTCATTTCTCTTTGATTTCAAACCGCCATCGAACGCTCGATAATGATAATGACAAGACAAGATGACAAAGAAAAATGCCTGAATATAGAGTCTCAGGTGATTATAATACTTTTTTTTTTCATTTTTTTTGTGTTCATCCATCATCATCATCATCTGTATTCCAGTCAAGTCATGTCTTTCAGGTTTTGACAGCTATTCAATTTTTTTTTCATATGACAACTTCATCATACATACACCAAACGTTGTGAACAAAAAAAAAGAAATATATATATATATATATAGATACTTATATCTTATGAAAAGTCATTAGACGTAAATGAACCATGCCGGCATTTTCTTTTGCACAAAAGTTGATGTGTCAAGTTAACAACACGAAGAAAAAAATAATCATACTAAGTTCAAGTTTTCTTTCTTTTTTACCAATAAAGTTGCTGCGAAAGAGGATGATGCCCATTGACATCATTAAATAGAGTCAATTTAAGTAAAAGTTCGAAATCTGTTGTAAATGGCAGTTGTTGCATTGTACTGCTGCTGTTGTTTGTTTCACAGGATGATGTTGTTGTTGAGCTTGTATTCGTACTTGTATCATTACCAAGAAGATTATCGATAAAAAATGATGTTTTTCTAATTGGTTTTTTAATTATCATCGATTTTTCTTCTTCTTCTTCTTCATTTTCATCTTCATCTTCGTTCAATTTCATTTGTTGTTGTTTCAATAATTTGAAGCGTTTTCGTCGTCGTAAATAACTGCCATTTTCAAACATATCACTACATCTTTATAGGAGAGAAAAAATTTTAAATTATAGTTATTAACAATAAATTGTATTCACTTAAAAAAACTGATTTTAATAGATCCTACTTAACAAACAGCATACCGCTTAGATCAAACGCAGCGAAGAAAAGATCGTTTTTTATCGCTTTTCTGCGTTCAATGAACGATACAATATATATATATATATATATATACGTACATATGAGAGAAAACAGGTGAAAAGAGATGCGATTTGTTAAGTGTTTGACAAGATGTACTTTCGCACCTCGACGTTTTAAATAACGGCTTCTGTTTGATTCAATTTTCCATTTTTCTGTGATTGTCTGATTTAAATTTTGTCAAGTCGAAAACAAAAAACAACACCCTCAAGATTTTACTAATTTCGAATTGATTCTATTTTATTAATTATTTTTGCATAAGTTTATAATAATAAAACAAATGAATTTTGTCTTATTTCTCTCCCATAAAATCTATTGAAGAGAGGTTACAACCTTGAACTATTTTCACTCCGTTGCACATTCTAGCATTGATTAATCATCCGACAATATGATGAAAACTATTTGAAAAACATACACGTGTTTCAAAAGTTATTTCTTTTCATCTAATTGCTGTGTGTGCAAACATATGTAAATAGATCGATCTATTTAGTGATTCAAACTCATGCTGTGATTCGTTTCTTTTATCGCATGAGAATTAGTTAATGATCAAACAATCGATAGACCATGACAAAGATCAATTGAATTTTATGACTTACTTGCTATGTAATGCCCAAAAATTGCCTTTGCCAGGTCGATCAAGACGTCGTGGAATTTTAATAAAACAATCATTGAATGATAAATTATGTCGTAGAGAATTTTGCCATTTTTGAGTATTTGTACGATAATACGGAAATTGGTCAGTGATAAACTAAATAGAAAGAACAAAAAAGTCCAACATTTAAAAAATCAAATATTTTATCGTCTAGTTTTTACTTTGTAAATGTCACTCAATGGTAACATTTTCTCTGGGCTTTGTTGAATAGCCATGGCTGTTAATGCTATATATGAGTAAGGTGGTTTTTCATCGGAATAAGAAGATTTTCCTGGACGTGGCATTCTATGGTATGTTGATATAATGTAATAAACTTATCGACACATTGATTTGTAACACCTATAACACGATGTGTGAACAAGAAAGAAAAACGTCAATATGATTGGCGGTGATGATGTGGATTTTTTCTCGTTTATTTTAACCAATCGCATAGATTCTTATTCTGTTGCATTCATGTTCGTTCTTTTTCTTTTTTCAATCGCTCTCTTCTCTCGTTGTAGACTTTTCACCTGTTGAGATCTATTCATACAAGACAGAGAGAGAGAAATAGATCAGGTTGAATGGCAAATACAATCAAATTAAAAAGAATAAGATGAATGCTTAAGCAATAAAAAAGAATTTGTTGTTATAACAGTAAGGTGAAACAATGAATGAAACAAACGAATTGATTCTCTTTACTCTTCCGTATCATTGAATACAGAAACTTGTATAGTAACAGAAAAAAACAACAATATTTTGTTTGATGCATGCTGAGATCAAAGGATTGATATAAACCGGAATGTAAGCATCATTAGTAAACAAATATGTCAATTGGACGCTAGTATGTATTTGATGAAGAAACACAATATTTTCAATCCTATAGAAAAAAAAAAGATTTTTTGCTTATTGAAATTTTTATATATTTCTTAGAAGAGAAAAAAACGATATGCTATGACCAAACGATTAAGTCAATGTGCAAATATAAATTCATTATTTGCAAAACAAACATTTCAATTATACTATATTTATCTTTTGCTTCAAAGTACAAATGTTGATGGCCATAACTTGTCGAGAGCAGAAATTTCATATATCACTTTCAGATGTGGGTATTCTATATTAAATTAACTGATACACTGAGGAGAAGAAGATTGAAGTCGATGTCGCTGTGACCATGTAAACGGTTTATTCTCTAATTATTCAGGTAGAAATTTAATGACGTTTGTTTTGAATTATTAAGAATAGGCCATTATGATCTATCACATACTACAATGCGATAATATTGCCCTAGAAAGATTCATGTCATGTGACACGTCAGGTGTTATCAATAGGAAAAAACAGTTGCGATTGATCAATTTGTTAAAGAAAAATTGTCTCATGAATTCTATAATTTATTTAAATAATAATACTACTGATTCTTTACTCCATGACACATTGTAAACGGTCTCAGCGTATCATTCTCGTTAATATCCCAGTAGCAACAGTGTCTGGGTGATTCATCGACATTGGGATAGGCCGATGCTACTGTGATTTGTATCAAGTTCATGGTAAAATTCAACCGTGTATACGGATTTTGTCTTTTGAACACAACTATTGAGTAGTTTTCTTGTTGTTGAAGCGAGGTGGTGACTTGTCAACGCTGTGAGGCACCGCTGGATTGACATGAAGTATACATTTGCTTTTGATTCGAATAGTTTCATCTTTTTTACATGAAATCTATGTGAAAAATCACTATTCAGATTTTAAACTGCGTCTAATCTAATATGTCAAGTTCTTAGTGGTGAGCAGCCGATTTTGCAGAATAAAAAAATAATTACTTTCTTTTTTTTTCATACACTTGCACATGTTCGTTCTCGATGATAGCTGTGTGAATGATCGAAACATTCAGAGATAAAAACGTACACGTCAAAATCGCTAATCTGATGTCATCCTTGCGGATGTGTTTTGTTATCGATTTGCTCCTATCATCACGCTTTGTATTGTTCAACAGCAAGTATAATGGATTTTCGGGACGAAATTCTCTTGATAATTTGGAATAAACTCAACAAATTCGAAACATTCTATTCGTTTCTGGGTTTCAACAAAAGATTCGATATTCTCCTTCTATTGAGCTCGTAGATAATGATTTTTAATATGAGCTGCTCCTTACCAGATTCACTGCTTGATCGATTTTGTTTTCATATCTTGCCTAAAATACGTGCAAATATCGAATGCGTGACGGTCGAATCACTTTCCATAGAACGGATTCTTCGTGATGTCGTTATTGTCCACACTTGTTTTGATGTTATTTTGATTTTTGTTTCTATAACAATATTGGCACATGGCACCGTTTTACAGTGCTTTAGTTGTAGCTTGATAAAAATTTATTGTCAATACCTAGGAGAATTTCACGGCACATCTTTTTAAAAAATTCAAGGTCATATGATTTGTCCATGGTGCGATATTTTCAACATGCTCGATGTTGCACTCATTTTGGTTCACCCGGCATTTCAATGAAAAGTTTAATCGCGGTCAATTTATTTCTTAGTTTAAATTACAAGAGTCTTCATTTAGCGCTTCCTACATGGGACTCAGCTAGCAGCAATACTTCGATGATGAGGTGTGCCATTTTGTGAGTGAACCGATCAGTTCGTTTCGATGCGTTGTCAGGACATACGCGTTTTACCCACGTTGTCACTTTTCTACCCATCATTTTTTGTTCTTCTATCCATTTTCCTAGTATTTCTTTTTCTTATTGCATAAAAAGGTGTATCTAAGTGTTTTTTTTTTCTTCATTTCTGTTTGAAAATAACTGCAAGAAGGCATGCAGACGGTGTACATATTGAATACCCTTGATTTTTTTGCACTAGTCATATGATAGACGTTGAAATTTGGATACTGAATCAGAGCGGAAACGTTCGTCTGACGCGCATGTAATAGACGAAATGCGGATTCATCGGTGATGAAAACAACAAAGCGGTTTATTTTCAAGATTTATTTAGTATAGAGCTTTTAAATAAATACTTATATAGTATTGTAGACTGTCAAGGCGAATAGAAACGAAAATTCGCACTCAAACGCCATCAGGAATGATATTTTGTGTTATTTTGATCGTTCTATTTATTTCAGAGATGGAATCTGAAGTTAGAAAAGCAAATCAAGTCGAAGAAAATTTTGACCAATATTTTCGGGATATCTTGCAGAGCATAGACATCAATGATGTTCAACGGTTCAAAGATATAATTGATAAAATGGATCGCCATAAACTGCCAAGTATGAAGAAAATGACCCTCAATGCAGGTATGTAACCATTTCGCAAAAATTTCTTTTTGGTTTCAGCAAATTGTCTATTATTTCATTTGATTAGGGCGTGGAGTTTTTGCAGTACTCCCTACATTCACACGTAAAGTCGAGATTGAATCTGAATTATAGAGCGTATGCTAAAGCAAACATACTTCTGAAAAAATAGATGAAGATTAAGTTATACAACAAAATTTTAGATCTAGAAATTCATTTTGACTATAAATAAAAAGTGATCATTGATTTTTCTTTCATTTCATCTATGAATTTCTTATTTTTATTGTAAAAGATCATTATCCAAACGATTCGAACTGATTATTGATAGTATTTCAATGTATAATATTTTATATTTTAGGCTATCCAGAAGCAGACGGTTTACCAGGATTAAGTATAGCAGTTGGAAGAAAACATAAAGCTATCGCGGAAGCTTTAGCAAGTTAGTTTTTTTTTTTATAGATGAATTGTTATCTGGTTCAAGATTATTCTTTGTTTTTCTTTACAGACTGTCCCGAAGTCGACGTGAACAAAGCATCACTGTCCGGTATTACACCATTATTGATGGTTGCTGAAATTGGCTGGCTAGATATACTTGACATTCTGTTACAACGCGGTGCTGTTGTTGACGCAACGCCATCTGGTAAACGAGCTGAAGCTAATAAAATAGCTGGTTCGACGGCATTAATCGGTGCAACAAAATGTAATCATTCTGAATTCGTTAAGCGGCTATTAGAACACCATGCTAATCCAAATCATCAAAATCAGTCGAGTATATCAGCATTGATGCTTGCAGCTGAGAAAGGATTTTTTGAATGTGTTAAATTACTTGTACAAGCCGGAGGTGATCTTGAATTAGCACCGACTGGTAAGAAAAATCGAGTTGTTTACATTATCATGATGGAACAATGATTGATTTTCTAGGCCAATTAGCAGTAACAATGAATTTATGTGGTCAAACGCCATTATTTTGTGCAGCGAAAGAAGGTCGAATAGATATAGTTAAATATTTATTAGATCGTGGAGCTAATTCTCGTGTTCAAAATCATTATGGCGTTAGTGTTCTCTGGATTCCGGCACAAAAAGGCATGCTAGATGTTGTTGAATTATTATTGGATGCCGGTGCTGAAATTAACACGGCTCCAGCCGGTGAATTGGCCGATGAATTAAATATAACCGGGTGGACACCACTTTATGCAGCAATGAAATCTCGACAATTTGACGTTGTTAAATTACTTCTTCGACGTGGTGCTGACCCAAATGCGGTTACAAAATTAGGTTCAACACCATTTCTACTTGCATCGGAAATATGTGATTTAGATATAATTGAAGCGTGTGTTGGAGCCGGTGCTGATCTTGATTTTGCACCGAGTGGTCCAGATGCCGATAAATTAAATATAACTGGTCAAACAGCACTTTTTATGGCTACGCTAAAAGATCGTGTTGATGTTGTGAAATTTTTAATACAAAAAGGAGCACATGTTAATGTACAAAATCGTTTTGGTGTATCGCCATTACTTCTTTGCGCCGAAGCGGGTAATTTTGAATTTGTTCAAGCGCTTGTACAAGCTGGAGCTGATGTCAATATAACACCACAAGGCGAATTAGCTGAAGACAATTATCTTGCTGGACAGGTAATTAAGGGAACTAGTAACGGATGCGACAGAATAAATGGCCGATCAGTATTTTGTCAGTGGCTTCTTCATTTTTCATTTCCTAGGCTTGAATTGTTCAGCAAACGAAGCGCCATTCAATTCTCTACAAAATCTGTATTAAGTTTTCTTCTGTACAAAGTGAAATAGAAATACGAAGCAAGAATACTCAACATGTTCAGAAGGATCTACTTTCTCAGCTGATAAATCATTCTTTTAGATTTTTTCATTTCGCTATTGATCACAAAAAGAAAACAGTATAAGTATTTTGTAGGCGACGAAAAACTCTATCAATTGAAAATTATTTGAATTTTTTTTGCGCAGTCTTTCCATAGACAATGATAATATTCTTTTTCAGATTTTCGAGAACTTAGCTGTTTTTCTCTGTAGCCTACGAAAAAGAGTCATAACTAAACCAAAATAACATCTTTCGGATTCTGATTTTCTTTATTTTGATGGAATATAGTTGCTGTGCCAAATGCGAGGAGAAATTTACCTGAAAATTCTCTTCTTCCATTTCGCTAATGAAACAAAATGAAATTTGACTCATTTTGAATAGGATTTCGAAAAATGGGATTTTTGGATTTTCAACTTTATTCGAACGAAGTTTGACCTGAGCGACAAGAAAGAGCAACTTTGAAAGTGTTCAAAAATATTGTCATTTTTGTTGTGTTCTAAAAAATGTTCTGAAGTTTGATTTTAAAATAGCTTAGAAAGTAGATCCTTTTGAACATGTTGAGTATTGTTGTTGCGTATTTCTATTTCGCTTTGTACAGAAGAGCACTTCACACAGATCTTGCATAGAATTGAATGGCGGTTCATTTGCTGAACAGTTCAAGCCTAGAAAATGAAAAATGAAGAAGTCACTGACAAAATACTGATCGGCCATTTATGCTGCCGCATCCGTTAGTTCTACTAATCTCAACAAACACAAAATAGGTCAGTCGATTGTGTTCGTTGTAAACTATGGGAACTAGTCATTCAGGTATTTTAACTGATAAAAATGCGGAACTCTCATCTAATAATGAAAATATGATGTACAATCGCTGTTAAGGTAGAACTTCTCTAGTGAACTATAATTTAATACAACGAGGTTCGGTGTTCAGAAAAAAAACTTCATTACTTATTTTTAGACGCCTCTCTATGGTGCTGCCAAGAAAGGTCACGTAAAAATTTGCGAATATCTAATTCAAAATGGTGCCGATGTCAATGCTGTAATAATGGTATATTGAATTGAATCTATATGTTTATATTTATTTTTTATTCGTTTTATATTTAGACTGGTGCCTCTTCATTATACACAGCAACAGAAGAAGGTCATCTAGAAGTCGTTGCTCTACTGATAGATCACGGCGCCAATGTAAATCTATCACCAAAAGGACAAGTTGCACGCAACCTACATATTGAAAATCAAACGCCATTATTAGTAGCATGTGTGATAAATCATGAGCGAATTATTCGACATTTAATTAAATCTGGTGCAACTGTTAATTTGACATGTGAAAGTGGCTCATCACCATTCCTTGCCATATGTCAACATAATAATGTTGGATTAGCAAGATTACTTATTGAAAATGGTGCGCGATATGATGGTGAAGCGAAAAATTTTTATGATGGAAAAATAAACGGTTTGATTGTTGCTGCTGAGTCGGGCTCGTTCGACACGTTACGTTTATTAGTTGAATCTGGTTTAGATGTTAATTATAAAATTGAGGGTCAAGTAAGAGGATGCATAAAAGGCTTTGCAATATTGTGTATTGATTTTTATTAATTTTGTTTTATTAGGGGGAAACCGCTGGTCGTACACCTTTATTTTGTGCATGTACGAAAGGTTTTCAAGATATTATCGAATATTTAATTGATCGAGGAGCTGATGTCAACGGGGCAGAAGAAGTACGTGAATTTTAGTTTCATGAATGTTCATAAGAAAAGTGTACGCTGTTAGAGACTCGATTTAGGAATAGAGAATCGCTGGCTTCTGCTTCCCCGAATATAAATTTTTCGATTACAGTTCAGTTTAATTCAAGCTTAACACGAGAACATCCATTTGTAGCTTCAGAATATTGATGCTGTAAATCGCACAGCTCCGATTCAGTAGTTCAAATGCTTTGATGAGATATTCGATTGATATGAGTATTATTTATTTAGAGTGGCTTATCATGTTTGCACATCGCATCCGCTATGGGCCACGATGATGCAGTGCGAATCTTGTGTGAACGTGGTGCAAATATTGACCAACGATTTCTCTTCGAAGAGCAATATGTAACTGCATATGATTTAGCGGAATCACAACAACATGATCATGTATGTCAGATACTCAAGACTTTTGCAGCTAAAAAACTACCCGATCTTGCATAACCAAGCCATCTGAAACAACGTTTCATTATTCATGCCCATATTTTTTTTAAATAAAGACGATAAACTGTGATAGATTTTCCAATTCTGTACTTTCATATGTGTTTTGACGATTTGCAGTAAACTTTGTAAGGCCTATGTGTTTCCACAATGAATGATAACGTATGCTGAAATGTTCTACGGTCAATAGAACTCATTGAACTCTACCAGCCAGAATCATTTTTAAGGAAAAAGGCTGGTGTGGGTGAGGGTGCAGTTCTGAGTCCAGAACTCTTGAATTTCACAGGCTCTAGTTGATACTTTGGAATTATTAATATCAAACGTTCTAACTGGAATAGAAATCAGAGATTTGATCATATAACAGGCTGTAATTTGCATCCACAGTGTTATTCCATCTAGCTTCAATCATTAGAAAAAAAAGCATCTATAGATATTTTACATTGTGGAACGCACTTTAAACAAATATAAAAGATATATTTCAAATAGAATATTGAATACGTTGTATTTGTTTAGTAGTTGTAGCTAGTAAATTGTGTGCATATGCTGATGTCATCCTTACGGATGTGTTTCAATTGTCGATTTGTGCTTATCATCACGCTTTGTATCGTTCTGATTGCTACTAACGTTTGCCCTATTAAACTAAACATTAATTGTTCAACAGCAAGTGTAATGGATTTTCGGGACGAAATTCTCTTGATAATTTGGAATAAACTCAACAAATTCGAAACACTCTATTCGTTTCTGGGTTTCAACAAAATATTCGATATACTCCTTCTATTGAGCTCGTAGATAATGATTTTTAATATGAGCTGCTCCTTACCAGATTCACTGCTTGATCGATTTTGTTTTCATATCTTGCCTAAAATACATGCAAATACCGAATGTTTGGCTGTCGAACCACTTTCAATAGAGCGGATTCTTTATGCAGGCGAAGATCCTCATTTACGGAAGTTGAGTCTTGTCAATTTTGACCTACAATCAGCGTTGTATTATTTCAGTGGTAAGAAAATCATCGGATGCATAACTCAGATTCGAGACTACCTTTTACTTGTTCACGTATTCGTTGAATCTATTTTGTTTAGAGGAATCGCCTTTTACTAACCTTTTCAGACAACAGATCTCACATTTAATTATCTCGATTAATTATACTCGATTCAAGTCTTCAACTGTCGATTTAAACAAGAATATCTACGCACTCATCTTTTCGATGTTTAGAAACCTAAAGAATTTCAATTTTACTGCGATGGGTTATTGGCGACAATATGCACATTCGACTATTTATAATGTACCGACGATGAGTAGCTTTTTATCGACTATTATTAATTTATGTATCGACGTTCATACTTTCGATGATTGTTTGTGTTTACTGGATTGTCATCTCGCTTATTTGCGTACATTAATTGTCCGAATCGATAACATTCAAACCTGTGTATTAGATCCTGGCGGTACAGTAGGGATATTTTTCACACCCTTTTGCTTTACTTCAGTATTATTATTCAAAGCATTGGCTAACCTAAAATATTTCTCGCTAACTGCAAGCCATAGTACAACAACATATGACAGTCACATCGTACCTCTTCTTCGTCGAATGGCGCATCTCAAAGAACTGATCCTATATCTCATTGTTGACGAAAGATCCACATTTATCGATGGCACTCGTTTCGAGAACGAAATCCTTATTCATATGCAACAATTTTAAGCATTTACGTTCAACATTACCAGGTACACGAGCACTGTCGACGGTGCGAATCGGCAATCGAATGATGAATTTCGACGTACGTTTCTTAATGGAAAATATTCTCAAATTGTCTGTTGTACACACGAGGAAGGGCTCGATCTCGTGCTTTCTCATGTCCGTATACTCTGGATTAGACGCTTCGTATTGGTAACAACTTTCCTGGAGGTTCGTGCCGAAATGTTCGTAATCTGTACCTCGATGACAGATTAAATCCAATTGAACATGATCTCTTTTTTAGAATTGCTCAAGCGTTTCCACTACTTACTCTTTTCACTTTCCACAATACGAAGCGACAAGAATATAAACGAATGAATGAATTAGAACAAAGCAGTGCTACATCATCGGTTGCTGAGTTTTCTCATTTTACCCATCTCAATTTCATTTTCACTCATATTAATTGCCCAGAACAGTTTTTGGTCGAAACAAGTACGCGTTTGCCACCTCTGATTGAATTAATTATTAGCTACGAAGCTTTAGAAATTCCAACGGAAAATTTTAGACGTGACGCAACACGTCGTAATTGTTCTCTATTAGAATGCATAAGCGTTCATCAACTAATGGTTCATTAAAAAAGCTTTCATTCATATTTTCCGTCTTAAAAATGAATTTCAATTATGGGTGTCGATAGATGTGTCAGCATTGGAGTAACTTTGAATCTACACTTACACCCATTGTGGCTTGTTCATGAATCTAATGAAACAGTGAGTAGAAAAATCGAAGTTATTCATTGTACATTCAACTACATTTTTTCATGGCTGTTGAATAAAAAGATAAATATATCTTCAACGGTCTCATGCATTCCAGCCACGATTATAGACAATTAGTTTGCGCCTGAATTTTTTTTGCAGTTTAAAGAAAAAGAGAGTCCGGAATTCGATAATAAAAGTACGTTCTCTGTGCTGAGTTTTTGCATTCATACTGTTTCTTCTGAAAACATCACTTGAGATTAGCGAATAGCTGTAATAATATCCAGATTTCAACAACAATAACAACAACAAGCCGTAGCTAAAGATGAGATAATTTGATGGTTCACTTATACTCGCTTATTTTTTTGAGTCATGTAAACTTTATATTGCAGCCTGCTGATTGGTTAGTCGAAAAGCAAAACTTGGAGAAGTCAATAGATGATGTTTTAAAAAAAGGTGAAGAAGTAGAAAACAAGGCTCAGACCGCAAAGTATAGGAAAGAAGCGGATGCTCTGGAGGAAGATCTGAATGATCTCGAAGAAGAAATACAACAGAAAAAAGAAGACGCATGGATATCGATCGATTTAGACGATAGAGAAAAGCAGAAGATAAAAATCCTGTGGTTTCCAACAGCGATAATGTCAAGTAACCATAAACAATAGTGAATAGATGCATAAAACTTACAACAAAAACCTATTCTATTAACAAAAATGTCTTTTTTTAATTTCTAATTAAAATCTAATGCATTATTCCAGAAGGAGACGCAAGTTTCTAACGAATCATTTCATAAATTATTAAAAGCTCGAATTTTATATTGAGCTAAACAATTAGAGTAACGATGCGGGTGTGTAGGACGTTCTTCTCCTTCAATCATGTTATTTGCATTGTGGAATGGCCGACACAGAGTTACATGTTTAGTGTTATGCATGTATAGAGAATAAGTATAGTTGACAACATCTAAACTAAAAAAATGTCAATTGCGTTAAATCAAGACTTATGATTTGTGCCACTAGTATCAATCCATATTTTTCCCATTTTCGTTGCATGCACAGTACAATCTTTAGTCACAATAATTCTTTCCTATGATGATTTGGAAAATGCCTGGCATATATATGATTTTCTCCCATTAACTTCGTAATAGATTGTAATATAAACGGTAGTTCGATGAATCCAGTTGGCGCCTCCTATGCCAATCATTGATTTAAATCCGAGATAATTTCCTGGACTAATTTTGTATACCTTAAATCTCTGCGATCACAATAAATTTTCATAAAAATAAAATTTACCTGCTTCAATTGCGGCAGCGTCTCGAGTTATGTCTAATGAAATGAATCTGAATGCTGTGTCAATGATAAAATTGTTATCGATACTTGGAGAAGTACTTCCGATGCGTTTTATCTAAAGTTGAACTATGCTGAACTGTATCAATGGGCTTGTCTATGAAAAAAACGCATGACTTTGTGTACGTTTATCATGGGGCAGCTTAATTTACCTATACTATATTGAGTCAACACTCCACTTTCTTTATTGTTCTCAATGAAAAAAGTGTCGCTGAACGACGAAATGAGACATATCAGTCTTTTTTTATTTATCAGAAACGTAAGTTTATTACATGTGATGCTGTTAGTCTAGAAACTTATCTGCTTTATTGAGGCGACGAAAAGTCTCTCGATTCCTAATATAGATAAACATAAAAGAAATCTTCACTTATTGTTGTCTATGAAAAAATATTTTTTTTTGTACACGTGTTTTGACATAAGTACGACATGCATATTTGTTAAGTTATTTTATTTATTTAATTCTCAAAATTAAGTTAGCATAAATATAATTTAATAGCAATGAAGCAAGTATTTTATCTTGCATTTGTATTATGTTACATAATCGTAGCTTCGATCCGATGTTTTTCTGCTTGTAAACTAGTTGTTTGTTATTTTTGTATTTCAGATTTTTAATTTCTACAGGATGAAATTCAATAATTTTTCTTATACATTATTTAATGGATTGGATTTATCATCTTGGTTAACGTCAACTATAGATGGAACTGAGCATTCCATTTTATGTTCATGTTTTGGTTCAATATTAAAACATTTTTCACAGAGATCAAAATCTTCACATCTTGTACAATGATAACGGACATCACATTGTTGCCGACAATTATTACAATTATATATAGAGTTCTCTGTTTTTGATACATGTATTTCAGACAGAAACGCCATGGTTGAAAATTTTGCACGACGTAATGAAGAAAATTCCAAATTTTTATCACAGGAAAAGCTTAAAAATGCATCTCGCGTATCCATTAAATCACACTCAATTGGAGTATCAGCATCGTTGACTGCTGGAGGAGATGTTTTCATTGGATTATGAAGATAAATAACAAAGAATGCCTAAAGAGTTATATAGATACAAACTTCGCTATGAAGTTTCATGCTTTCAATAATTTACCTCTTTGATTCGTTTCATAATTGAAAATATTTTAGATTTTAAATCAGTACAAGGTGGCATTTGACTTTTTCCTAGTTCTTCTCGAGTTTTCGTTCTCTTTAAACTTTTGTTTTCATCCGCATTTGCACATTTACGTTTATTGGAAATCTGAATTAAAACAAATATTCATAGTCGAGATAAAATAGCGACTATTAAAATTCGACTAGAACAATTTAAATCTATTTTACAATCGAAAGTGTTTCAAACGATTGTATTCTTTAGTAGAATTTAATTTTTGGCTAGTAAATAGATAGTATAATTTCTACTTACTTCTGATTCAATAGGATAATCTGAGTCTTCATCTTGTTGATCAAGTTCTGAAACATAATGAGAAACAAAATTCGATTTTTATTATCAAAGATAGAAGCATACCTTTAATAGTTGCTTCAATTGTAGTCGGCCAAAAATCACCCACGAAATAAGGAATATCAAAAATGGCTTGTATTTCGTTATCCAAACAATCTTCCAAAATGTCCTAAATAACGAAGAGTCGAAAATAATATTCATGACAATCTTAAACTTCCCACATTTTTTTCTCATCTAGTCACTGATTCGAAAAAATAGACCGTTCAGTTTTTATAAAGTTACATGAAGAACGAACACGTATGTGTTTAACTCGATGAATCTCTATGTATTACCTTATAATCAATAACAACATCTTCTTCCATGGCTCGGTCAAGCATTTTTTTACACCAATTTTGTAGCCGTTTTACCTTCGGCAGACGTTGCTCAGGCGGGTGGCGAAAAAATATATAATCATAATTTTCAATTGCTGGGCAAGCCCACATATGAGCATACATATAGCCACGTTGTTTAACATAATCCAAATAGCCAATTAAGATTTCGTGATAAACATCCTGACGATAAAGGTTTGGTCGAAAAAAACGTACCGTATCAAAAATTGATATGTAAACACGACGTGTATTTGGTGCAGGACAATGTTCATCATATTCTTGTACATACATACCGAAGAAAGCAACTTCGGCACCGTCGATTTCTTGAAAAGCAAATATAGTTTTTGTTCGATATGGAAAACCATCATTTGCTACTTGATTTGAAAAATATCTTTTGGATTTTGGGTTTACGTGACAGATTTTATCGCCAGAATGTAATACCCGAATCGTTACGCGACCTTCATGGCAATTTTTATCAAGTAAAAATTTATTAACACGACTTTCTAATTGTGATGATAAATCAGTTGGTGGCAAATTTTCTGCTTTATGACAATTTTCTTTACGTGGCAGATTATATTCACGTACGCATGTATTACATATAAAACCATCGGGCCAGATTTGATCGCAATGTAATGCACATACTTGATGCCAACGACGTTTACAAACAATACAATCAACCATTATTTCAGGTTCTAGTACATCGTTGATAGCCGATAGAAATAAGTTTTTTGGTATTTCAACTAATGTTTGAGTTGGATCGTCGCCGACAAATATTGATTCGCTTTGAATCGAATTAAAACATACAAAACAAAACCTGTATTGATTATTGGATAGATTTAATCGTGATGGTTCAGGATTTTTATAAGAATAATAATTAGCGCCGCATCGAATTTCGCAAAATTGCCGCATTCCACAACAAACGAAAACTTTTGGAAAATATGCATATCGATCAGCACAACAATAGCCTGATGATTGTAAAACAGGATTAATAGATTCAACAAATAATTTCGCTAGTCGTTGACACATTTTATAGATCTTCATTGATCTGCTATTATAACGCCATGCATAATCAAACATAAGCCACGCATCATCACAGAATTGCAATGGATTTTTATATTCTCCATGTAACAATTTACTATGCATGGTTGATATATCCATGGGATGTTTAATTATTGTTGAATAATTAGTCGCATTAAGTGCACCTGGATCGACTGGTTGACGAAATGGATGCGACTCTTCAGAATCAATCATTTTTTGAATAATTGGTTCAAGGCATGCAAGTAAATATTCAGCTGTAAATTGTACCGGATGTGTAGGTAACGCATCGATTTCTTTCATTGTTGGTTTCTTATCGTTACTAATTGATAATGATGAATGAGATCCACTCATCGTTGTTGCTGTTTCGTTTTTGATCATTACAGATCTAGAACTCTAAATTTAATGATAGATTATTAGAATCGCATTCAATAAGTAGGATATACGTATATCGATAAATCCGTGAGTGAAAATAAAGCTGACAAACATGTGAATTCAATATTACTTTCTATTGCATGCTATTTTACTTTTTCTACTGTATTTTAATGAAGTTAGTGTGTTCAAATGGCATTACAAATTACTTTTGAGAAGGTCAATTGTAACGTACTTAGAGAATGTCGTCTATGTTCGTGAACTTGTTAGAGTGTATTTTAGCATGTGCATATCAATTGTTGACATGTAATTACTTATATAGCAGAGAATGATCAAAGATCAGCCAACAGAAACAAAGAAACGACTGGAACACAATAAAACAATCAACGTTACGTCATCGAATTAAATATTCGCTAATACACGGCTACAGCGTACATGGTGTTCTCTGTAACAATGAAAACCGTAACACCAATGATCAATGCAATGCAATTTTCTTAGCATTATCATGAAGTCTTTTTATTTTCTCTTCAAAAAAATAATTTGACAGAATCTCGTTTCTTCACCATCATATCTTCGAATTTAATAAGTGTTAGGGAAATCAAATTTGACGGAACTTTTGCACCATAGATTTCATTTTCTATTTTATAACAAAAATTACTATTTATTTAAAAAATAAAGTCAAAAGAATCTTTTTAGACTTTAATTAACTTTCCATCAGCACTTCGTACAATTGAACGAAGAAATGTTTGTGTATTACTATTATGGCAAAATGAGTAGTCACTGAGGAATCAGATAAAAGACGTGTCCTAATCGGTTGGGTGTGGGTTTGCATGTGTATAGACAAAACAGAGCCCAGCATCGCCATTGAATCAACACAAGCTTGGTGGAAATTAGCCTTTATGTTCACATCGAATGTGAGAAAAAAAGAAAGAATTTTACATAATTAGTAAATGATATTGAAAATCTGACTATTCAAAAAACAAAATGTCTATTCAATGGTTATAGTTTTGTTGTTGATGTCTCAAGTTTCGATTAGTTATTTGTGTCTGATTTGGATTGTGTAAAAGTAGATTTTGTTGTTGTTTTCGGTTAGCTTCTGCTGCTTTTCGGCTTGCTATTTGAATATTACTTTTTTCTTGAGTGAGTTCAGCAGCATGTGTCGCTGCAGTTGTTGCCCAGATCCGCTTCGATGTCCATCGATTATTCATATCTTGCACATTACTATCCAAACATTCTTTCTCGGTTTGACGTTGTTTTAGATTATTAGCAAGTTCTGTGTGATGACGATTTTTTTCATCGTAAACTTGTTGTCTTTCTTGAACCTGATTGGATAATTCTTCAAGTTTTTCAACTGTTTGATTAAGACGTTGTTGACTGTCGGTGACTTGGCGTTCTGCCAACTAAATTAAAAGATATTTCGATGAAATTTAAAATAACAATAACTAAATATTTAACCTGTTTGGCGATTTCTCGTTCTCGTCTAGTTTGTACTATCTGCGATAGATTCGTTTCGTTCTCTTTTAAATTTTGTTTGTTTTCTTGTATTTGTCCTTTGACTCGTTCAACATGAGCTTTACGTTCATCCCGTTGGGATTTAACTTGATCATTCTGTTGTTCTTTTGTTTGCAAATCAGCTTTGGTTTTCTCTACTTCGTTTTTCTTGCTCGTCATATCTGTATTTTGTCGATCCAATTGACTTTTGAACTGTTGTAATTGTTGAGAAAGCTGTTGTTTTTGTTGTTGGGCTACTTCAATTTTTGCTTTGAGTTGTTGATGTTCTGAATCGAGTTTTTGACTTTTACTCTGTTCAGTTCGAAGCATGCTTTCTTGTTCTTTATTTTCAGCTTCCGATTGTGCTTTTGTATTGTTAGCTAATTTAAGATCTTGACCGATAGAAGTCACTTGGTTTTTAGTCTGTTGTGCTTGACTTTCTTTGGCAGCGTATTCAGCCTGTTTAACTTCGAGCTGCTGTTGTTTTTGACCGACTGAAGATTCTAATTGTTGAGCTTCCTGTTGTTTGGCTGCAAGTTGTTGATTCGTTTCTTGAAGGGTGGCTTCCGCTGTTTGTTCCTTAGTTTGAGCATTTCTCAATTCATTTTCTGCATTGACAAGAGCTTGTTGAATTTGTGTTTGATTTCGTTCAAGTTCAGTTGCTTCTCGTTTTAATTGTTCGACATGTTCAGTCTGCTGTTGAACTTGTGCCTCAGCATCATGAACTTCATTTGTTTTCATTGTTTGTTGTTCTTTAGCTTGTGCAAGTTGACGTTCAGCTTCGGCATGATCAACTGTCGCTTTCTCCATGACCTGCTTTTGACGTTCAACTTGTTGTTGAGCAGCATTTTTAGTTTGAATCTGTTGTTTTAGTTCAGCTTGTTTCGTTAAAAGTGTTCGTTTCTCGTCGGCGACTTTCGTATGTGCGTGATGATGTCGCATTTACACGGCCAATACGTGAAATTGAAGAAGAAGAAGCGGAAATGCGACGTGTTGATCAACCTATAAGATGTGTTCAATGCAGTGATTATTATCTTGTTCAAGATTATAAAATGGGTGTTTGTGTACATCATGATGGATTTGTCTACGATAATCATTCGATTACACTTGCGCAATGGGGTCAACATGCTGCAATCGCACAGCTACTTAAAGACGAAGCAGCAGCTATGAAACAGTCAACAACGAATCCGTTGACACCCGAACAAAAAGAACGTTTAGAACGTGAGAAACAGCGTTTTAAATATATTTGCTGTAATCAGACTGTACAAGCATCGGGTATGGTGGGCGGTTGCAAACGAGGAAAGCACAGCTTAGCCGATGTTAAACTCATTCAATGGGAATACGAGTGTGATCACAATAGAGATTATCAAGATAAACGATTGAATTTACTTCAAACCAGAATTTGAACATTCTTTTCTATTTAATTTTTCAAAAATATAAATACAGCACATTTTTTCGTAGTCTTACATGGTGCTAAATTTTCTACGGGTCAGATTTAGGTGTGGACGCATGTTTACAGGAAAATAAAACATATCCACACCCTCATGATTGGCAATATAATTGGATGTGAAGTATCGTTGGCTTAAAAATCGAGAAGTGCAGTAAAAACGAAAATATTCCACACTATGACAAAATTTATTTATAGATAAGTAGGTAAAAATAAATAATTTACCATCTGCGAGATTCTAGAATTTTCATGCGACATAATACAAATAACAAAAAAATGTAAAGATAAAAATAATTTTTGAAATATCACGTCATAGAAGTATTTGAGAAAATAGTTTACATAAAAACATTTCAACAAACAAACAATTGGTCGATATATTTCAATTAAGAACATGACGCTTGTTCGTTCAATTGTAGTTTTTCAGTATCGTCTTTGTCAATATCTGTCAGCCAAGTCTTCATAATTGAATCAAATTCAAAAAATGTACCTAAATGTCCCCCACTAATTATTTTGAGTTCTGCATTGGGATAACTTTCAACTAAATAAGTTGACATTTCCATATGCGAGATTTCATCTCCTTGTGTAGCAACAATTAATACTTTTCGTTTTGATGGTGATGATGAAAGTTTCTTTGGATCAAAACCCCAGTCTGAATGTAAAACACGCGGCATCTCATTGAAACCAGCCATTGTTTTAGAAATACTTAAATAGATATTTCTTGACATCATATCAATAGCCCATTCTGCTGACTTATTGTTGTCTTCTTCCCATTTACGTAAGTTAACTTTCTCGTCATCACCCATTTTGTCAAAGAATTTTTTTCGTACAAATTTTTTTACTTCTTCAATATTACGCACTTTTTTTCGAATAAGCGATCCTACTAATTTTGAAATAAAAGGAAAATGAATACTTGGACTCCCAATCGCAAAATAACTGGACCAACTCATTCCATCAGTATGCTTTTTATGATATTTGAATGGTGAAAAACCAGACAAGACAATTAACGATTGAACATGGGTAACCTCAGGCATTATATCAGTTGATGTACTAAAACAAATTTGTGCATAAACCGATCCATAACTACCACCAGCAACAACGATTCGAAGATTTTTATTATTGTTTTTCTTTAACGATGATAATAATTGATGAACATCATTAGGATAATTTGAAATTGGTTGATTCTTCGGCCATGATGAACTATTACCCCAACCGGGAAGTGTAGGCATAATAAAATGATATTCAATTTCTTGGTAACAGTCATTCTCATTTGAACAATCACCAACACAAAATGCTCCGTGAAAAAAGATAATGATTTTATTACTATCGGTATCACCTTGTTCGGTATATGCTAATTGACGACCATCAGAAAGTAAGAAGTATTTTTCGTTAGAAACTTGTACTTCGCTAGAAATTGACGATGAGGCTAATTGTTCCATGGCTCTTGATGACGGTTATATCTAGAACATTTTTGTTTTCAAAAAGTGTATAGATTGTTCAGTATAGCGTATGAACTCACTAGTCGTTTTTTTATTCCAGAATATTTAAGTTATAGTAGATGAAAAGAAAAATAATAGCACGAACACAGCTTATCTATCAATAATCTAAAATAAACGGATTCTAATTTAAATAGGAGTCATATTTGATCAAATGAACCAAAAAGACCTCGGAAAAGCCTTTTAAATTTCATTGTGTTCGTGAAAAAATAAAATAACAAATGCTTTAGTTATATTTTGTTCATTTTGAACATTCATAAATCATGTCTTTTCTACTAAATCTTGTCAAATAAATTATCATATATAGTATTAAGTTTGATTTAACTATAAATAGTTCATATAAAGAAAATCACAATATGAATTTTTCTCCCCAGGTGTGCACTTGACACTTCGTGTTTATGAGCAGAATGCACAATAGAGTATCACAATAACATGGAAACATTCATTTCCGACACGTTTGCATTTGCACGAACTAGCATCACGATCCCGGTAGTTATCCTATTGGTAGTTATAAAAAAAAAACAATCAGACGTGAAGTATAGACGGCACCACATCACGGCGAGACAAGAACGGTGTGATACATCATTTCTATTTCGTCAGAACTTCGCTCGCTCATGAGTAGTAAATTAATCCTTACCACCAACGACGGACTATCAGACTCACAGCTCACTCTCTATCGAAAAATCAACTAAAAAAGTGGTATAGAAATAAATAGCGAGAAAACCCGATTTCTGATCAATCATTCTTTGCTAAGAGCTGAGTTACACATCAATCGATGTGGGTGTGCGTGTGCGTGTGGGCATGAGTGAAACAGGAACGCGTAGGAATTCCGCCTAATTCCTGAATCACAACCTCTAATAATATTCTACGATGTCTTACCCATCTAGTGATTACTCAATTCCGGAATTACATTGGAACTGGTAAACGGAATTCCGGGAATTAGATCGTAGTGGTTACGTGGGCGAAACTGATTCCGCAATGTTCAAGATCGCGGAATAGGATGCATTCTCTCTCATAGGAAGAATTCATTTAGGATTTAATGAGTGAGATTCTCTCATGAAAATTTGATTTACTTTGTAGTTCGTTCGAAAATTATATCTATAGATCAATTTATCTATTTTGATAATTGATAGGTTTTAGTGTTTTTAAACAGCTGTTTCTTAAAACATCCATACAAAAATCAAATAATTAGAGGTATCGATAATGATAAACAATAAAATTAAGTCACGTATTGTTAAGATGATTATATTCTACAATGAAATTATTGTCAAAAATTTCGTTTTCTTTTGTTTTTGAATAAAAACAAAAATAAAATAATTTCTTTTTATTCATTTTCATTGAATAGTTCAGTTAATAGAATTTCTGATAAATCAAATCAGAATATGTGTTTCAAAAGTTCATCAACAAGAAAATCATCATGAATAATTATTGCGATTAATTCATTTGAATATGTTTGTGCTTTGCTAAAATAAAACAGAGAGTTATATAAAAACTTAGAATTATTCGAAGAACCTCATCAACTATTTTTATATCTACGTAAATATAATAAAAATAGTATTTCATTTTATTTCTAATTATATTATCTTATTAAGTTCTGGATTAATTTTTGTTCGATATCTCAATTAATTATAGATGTCATTCTATTTGACACAGTTAAGTTACGTTATCATTGATTGATCTGGATCTCGCAAGCACGAAGCAAACAATGACACCAACGGATAAAACGATAGTTCCAAGATATGTTGCTAATTTCCAAGCTCGCCTAGGTTCTGCTGCTTTCAGGCATACATCTGATTGGTGATTTAGTTCGACTAGTTCAATTGCTTTTTAAATATTTCACGGAGCTATACCGCATGCTGAGTGGCACGGACAATATCGTCTGGTTTAAGAATACCGACATTTATTGCTGGCCTACATGTTTTGGGTAGATGTGTAATTCGAGTTCGAAAATAAATGGAAAAAACGCTGCTTCTTGAGGCTGTGGGTGTATATAAGCAAGACGTACCCCACACACGCACACCCAAACGTTTCCTATTATAATAGGAAAGTGTAGCAGAAAGTTAATCTTTTTCTTTGAATGGATTGGAGCTGATGAAAATTTTTGAAAATTTCGTTTATATTCGAACTCGAATTAGGCAACTACTCATAAGTTGGTAATTTATTGACATGGACAACTTTTCTAAAACGACGCTTTGTTTGATCAGGAAAAACTAGCTGTCTTCGTAGTTCTAATACAAATCCTTTAGGAAATAGAATATCTTACTTTAATCTTTATATTTTGATGAAACATATTACTATAAGAACTAAGAATGCATCCATTTTCTCAGATCAAAACAATATTTCTTTTCGGTACGCTCATTTTAATGAGACAGATTGTTTAAACAACGAATATATATATGAGTTTTTATCTATTCAATTCGTATAGCTAAAATAAACTAACCTAGACTTCCGATTTTGTCTTCATATTGTTCAATAAAAAGCGTCTTCGAGTTTTTTTTTCTGTCAAATTAACTTCAGAAATCCGCTCAGGTTATTTAATATTAATTTCAACGAAAATGTATTTTTCATTGAACTGATTCCATGCATTCATCTCCTTTAATATCAAATGTTACTGCAGAATTTTATTCACTATTGAAAACAGGTAATTGAAAGACTCGTCATATGTCATATTTTTACTTGAAAATAAATACAATGTTGCAAATAACTTATATTCGTTTCGTTCTTCAGAAATACTATGATAGAAGCTCAATTTCATCATTGTTTAAGACTGCTTACGACAGCAGCTACAACGTTTGTTTGACTTCAAATTCTTTGGGGTTCGAAAGAATTTAATAAAATGCATTAATTGACAAAACAAATGATCTTCAACCATTTTTGCAAGTTTCAATTTTGAGTGTTATTGTAACGTTGCACACGATTTTTCGAAATAAATATTTTCAACTGTATTCTACCATGCAGAATTAAAAGTGCGTACATCTGAGATTATTTGAAGGAGAAAAAAAGGACTTGCCCGTTTCTTTTCAAAAGGTAAATGAAAATAACAATGCAAACTAGAAGAAAACGTGACTAGAATAAAAAAAATGTTTTTTACTAAAGTAAAGGTTGAATTAAAAAACGAAGAAAGTCAAACTAGATAAAATTAATTAATTCAACTTGATAATCATTTGAAAGGTGGGCGTGTTTGTATATGTTAGATGCGTGCAAGATCGATCGCAACTATCCAACTCCAGATCTACATCGATAAGAACATCGGAGTTAAACTCAATAAATCGTGTGAGCTTATTTCAATGCTGAGCAGTTTTTGTGATTGATTTCAAATCTATACTGTATCTTTCTACATGAGAAAAAAAGCTAACCACTGCATAAATGATTGAGGTTTATGCAAATGTATTTCACAGATAACGGTGGACTCCAATATTTCTTTAATAATGGTGATAATTTATTGATCGTGTTTTCAGGAAATATACCTTTTAAAAATATTTCATCAGGAACATACAATCGTCAATTATTGAAATAATCGTAGACAACTTATATTTCTTTTGTCTTATTTTCAGCTTCTGAATAATGCCTGATTTAAATACTTTTTCTTATAACTAACTTGGATAGAAGATACGCTGCAGACAACTACATTGAACTATTTAGATTGTTAAAAGACAATGAATCTGATTTACAATTCTAGCGTTAATCCTTCGAGCATTCATGTAATAAATCTAGTTAATCCGATAATAGGATTTAGTTTAAGTGTTTTAACTTTTTCTCTCAAAACAGTTTAATTGTAATAAAATAAAATGATAATTTGTTCAGAAAGTAATTAATTTTGACAAAAGATGAAGTTCAATCAATTATTTCATGATTATTTAATAGAATCTGTCTTCTCCCCAATGATTACAATACAAGTAATCAAAATGAACTGGTTGCTTTTTTATTATTCTATGGAAAAATTTTTTTCATCCATTATGCAATTCGAATAGTTTCACTTTCAATGTTGCCTCCCACTTAAAGCCAGTCAAATGAGAAGAATCGAACTCAACAGAAAAGAAATGTTAAATTAAAAAAAACCTCCTCACAACGAGGCGTTGCATCATGTTCACATACCTGCATCTGTAGGCCGAAGGCAACTTAATTGGTGGAGATTAATTGTTTTTCTAAGTGCTTTCTATTGTTTCAACGCCGTGCAAAACAAGACATGGCATATTTGGCCTTATGATTAAATTAGAAAAGAATGCAACTATTTTTCTCTCTCTCCAACAAAAATTGCAGTTGGATAATCGAACTTTGATTAAGTAGGAAACATGGCGCAAGCAAAAAGTTCAGATATATATATTGCTGTTTCTGAAGACAACTTGTCACTTTCAGCTGGTATTAGACAAATAACACCTCCCTGAGCAAAACAAACCAATGAAGGTGAGTTATAAAAATCAAGAAAGAACGCCAGCTTTTACATTGTGCAAGACCTGTTTAACTGTTGTCGGAAGGGTTTATCATCAAAGTGATATTCTTTCATTGTATGAAGCGTGCCTCTAAGATTGCCAATTCTTTGCTTTGGGTACGAACACGACCATTCCAATATCCACAATATTACTAGACATCAGCTTTTGAACAGACCAGTAGTTAGACTAGCACGAGTCATTATTCGATAATCTCATCGTGTATGATTGAAATCAAACTCTCAATTAGTTGTACATATAAATATTCTTTTAATCTACTGACAGAGACTTTTAACATGTTGGTGTTTGATCTGGTTATGATCGGTCATTTATAAGATGAGGTTTTGTCAAGAGAAAAAAGTGAAGGGCGTGAATGTAGAACAGAGAAATACTCCACACTCACCCCCTCCTCCCCCGAAAAAGATTGAACTAACATGTTTCTTTATGTTATCCTGTTTAGAGCACGATAAATTTCAACATTCATGTTAGCTCGTTGGTTTTCATTCTACTGGGTCTTACTGTAAACCAAGCACAAGGTACAGCAAGCAACAATTTGACTAACTGTCAATCAGTAGCGTCAAGTTTTCGAACAACTGTTTCCGGTCCCGTTGCTAATATCACCAGTACAACAGGCACAAATGTAACCTGCACATCGCTAAGTGGCTCATCATGCCCCGGTTCCAATATAAGCGGCTCTTGTGTTTTTCAACACAAACTGAGCGTGTCATGTTATCTAAGCGGCTCCACCGTTAAAATCCGCATTCAATCCAACGGATTACCATATTACTGTCCAAGTATGCCAAGCTCAGATACATTCGCGGAGCAGAACATCGATTTCGAAGTCAACTTCAATCCAGATGTAAGCGTCAATTCACCGTTACAAAGTGCAACAACTGTTTCAGCACTGAGCACTCTTCTTTGCAACATTCAAGGATCTTCCAATCCCCCATCGGGTTCTGCATATGTGAACTATGGATCATCGTATTCCACCCTCGCTGGTGTTTCTGTAGATGGTGTCTCCATAATGAATGTCAACAGTCTTAACAATGTCGATCCATTCTATCCAGCAGGAAGCTTTGCAGCTGAGTCAGTGGACACATGTTTGGCGCACTGCCAGGCAGCCGGAATTTATCATTATCATATGGGTTCCGGTTGTGCAAAAGCCAACCCATCCAGTGGACCAAGTGCGTGTGCGTCTGTGCCAACTTGCAGCTCAAATATCTCTAATTATGGCATCAGTTCATTTTCAAGTTACACAACATTAACCGTAATAGGGATCTCAAGAGATGGACATGTCATTTATGGTCCGTATACATCATCGGGCGTAGAAGTTACCAGTGGCACAGACATTTGCAATGGGATGTTTTATGATTCAATCGGAAACTATGCTTACTTTGCTACACGCAAATTTCCCTATATAACAGGATGTTATGGCCCAGGAAATTATCCAAGTGTTAGCGTCAATTGTTCGACAAATGCGCCATCATCTTACACAATGTCGTCGTATGCAAGTGCGCTGTCGAGTTCGAATGTGACAACTGTATCGACTAATGCAACCACAGTATCAAGCAACACAACAACAACAATAGCCAGCAACACAACTCGTTCGAAGGCTCTTCGTCGTGAATCTTCTGTGTTTCTGCTATTGATGACATTGATCGTAATTGGGATTGGATGGATGGACTAACTACATCAAATTTCAGACTAAATTGAAAACAAAAACACATTCTTTTAATTATTTTTAACAGGCTGTTCGCTTTGATATTTTTATAATAAATGATAGTGAACATCCAATGGAAATGCACTAATACGAATTGGAATAGATGAATTGAATAGAGTGTGGGTATTATTATTTTGAATAGTGCTTCGTTTCTGCAATGCTAAAATTAATTTAGCTGACCACCTGTTTCTTACTGACAAAAGTGAGAGATGAATAATTATCATACATTAAGAAAAACATCTTGTCTGATATAATGTAACGAATAAGTTTTGTATACAGATATTTTTATTGAACGGGATTTTACACGGAGATTAACGAACGAAGATATTTTTCAAAACTGAATTTTTCTCTATTATCCATATTTCATTCTCGTGAAATATTTTAATCAATATCTGTCTTTTTCTATCTTGTTCTGGCTTTCCCGATGATGGATATTCGTGATTTAAATTCTCAAAAAACTTTCTTTTTTCATTATTGTAAAGTTTTGTGAATTCGTTTATTAAGCTTGGTATAATGGATTCCTCGATTTGTTTTTCAATCTGATCATAATCTTTAACATATTGTGGAAAATAATTTAAGTATTCTTGTTTTTCACCTTGTAGCCAAATCTTTAAGCAGAATTGTTCTTGTTTATGTTCATTTTCTACTCCAAGCGTTCGATAGTGAACTGTTAAATACGAACGACTTTTAATTTTAATACGATCATGAGTTCGTACATCACATGCTACAATGCCTTCGCCATCCATAAAATGCATTTGATTGACGTACTGCAAACATGCGTTTAAATCTAAAAATTGAAATGAACGTTGTTTTGGTACACCGATATCAATGTCGACTTCATCTAATGTCAACATATCGCGAGTACCCAAATGATACAACATTGGTTTATCATATTGTATTACAATTTTATAATTGGTGTGGGTGTGTGGGTTTAAACAGTCTATATCAATACTTACACCCTCATCCAAACCATTAGAAGTTTTCTTTCAAGCCTTATTGAGTTTACTAGTCGACAACAATACAGATGAAACAAAAATGTCCTATATTTTATAACCGTTCATATCGATTAAGCTCTGACGAATAGATTGTATGTGCGAAAAATTCAATTCTAACCAAGATCGATTCTCGGAATAGATCAGATTTCGAATTAAATGAGAATTGTTGAAAAGTGATTTTGCATTAGTATATATGAAAAGATCGAGCATATAAATGTATTGATTTCAGTATCTTTTGGATACGGAATCTTTCCAAAATCTATAGATTCTCGATACTTGTAGTCATATGTTCATATCAATACAAAATCAAAACTTTTATAAGTAGGTATTTCCCTTTTGAGTGTTCTTTTACTATCGAATTTATCTCTTCTTTTTGAAGCATTATAAAAAAATGTACATAGTTTGTATTCTAAACAGAGAGTATTTAATACTTCTTTATTATTTATTTTTGATGTCGAGAATTGATTTAGTTTGAATATAATATCGAAAAGAAATTCAACAAGATAACTCTGCGTCAGATCTTTCAGTGAAAATACTATAAGCAATGTCCTACGAATCAGCCCAACATATTAGATATCAATAAATTATTTCAGTTCATAATCAGAAGTTGAAGAATAGTATCTTCAGCATATGTAAAAGTAAACTAATTTTACGATGCTGGATATTCACATAAAAAGAAAGCATTTCTCTATGTTTTTCACACAGATAGATTTTCACTAAAACTTAAAACATGTTCATCAACTATCTGTTTTACTAATATTCTATACCGATATATTTAATCATTGATATTTAAACATCAAATAGATATTAAATACGAAAACATGTCACTCTTGACCGTGATCATATTTTGTACTACTCTTGTTCTTGCACAAAGTATTACGTACAACATTACTAATTCAACTGAAAACTGGCAAACTATTTTGACTAATCTCAAGGCAAGTGATGTTGCTGTCATGCAATATGGCATCTAGTTATGTAACATCGGGCTCTGGTTACTTCCAATTGACTCTGAATGGTAATCTCACTACACCAATTATCATTCAAGAAGCACCCAATCAACCACGTCCAATCATCCAATGTCTTCAAGTGGGTACAAGTGCTCAAAATATCATGAATATTCAAGGTTCAAATTTCATGATAAAAGCAATAGTATTTGCCAAGCGTTCACGAGGAATTCGTATCGGGCCATCAAGTAAATAACTCAACGTTCATTTCTATTATTCACTATCTCATTTTTTGTTCAAAACTTAACATCTAGCTACAACAAATGCAATCTTTGACAATATTTACATTTACAATACTACTGGAACATCATTTTCAGCCGACGGTGTTGGCAATGAATACGTCAATATAACATTACGAAATAGTGAAATGACCAATACAAATGCTTTGAGTTAGTATTAATTATGAATTATCTCTTTTCTACTTTCTTGTTATTAATAAATTCACCAATGTAGCTGCTACACCAGGTGAATGTGTTTATTTTGGATGTGTCAATCATCTACGTATGTCGAATTCGTGATTCTATCATTGAACATAACTATTGTCATGATACATTTGGTTCATCCGGAGGATCACGGGCTGGTTTCCAAGTGAAAGTAAACCTCGATTCAAGTTATTTTATTTAATAAATTTATGTTTCTTCAGTCCGGCTCATACAATGTTGTTGGACCTTGTATTATTATTTATGATGATTATGATCGTGGACGGAATTTAGTTGATGGAAATTTGGCTATCAATGCTAGAACAGCTGATCTTGGAATACAATGTACATCGGGAACGACCATCACAAATAATGTTGTGATTAATGCCAGTATGTAAACAATTTTTCAGTTGAAAAATGTCGATCGTATTCTTTTTAAAAGATTTATAAATTCATGTAATAAAATCAGCAAAGGATTATTTTCAGTTGAATATTTTCGACAATATGTTGTAACACATAGAACAATTTTGAACAAAAACTGAAATACTGACAAACATAAGAGTTTTTTCTTAGACCTTTTCTTCTGAAGATCAATTTTTTGTAATAGAAATCAAATGCAACAAACTAAAAACAATTGTTGATTGAATTGATTTTTCGATCATTCGATCTTGCTGGAATTGGCGCCATACAGAATTCAATTAATCCTACTATAAAATATACTAGAAATATAACCATTAGTGGTAATACTGTTTACATGTCTCGATCGGATGCATCTCTTCGATTGAATGGCGTTACAAATAAGAATATTACAATTTCCAACAATGTTCTATATTGTGCACATCAATTATCAATCAAAGCTACAAATGATTTAACAGGTAGATCTATGCAGAAAACTAGCATGGCATTTGGAAGTATAGAATCTTCTTATTGTTTTAGATGCCTCTGGGTATAATAACGCTGCCAATGGAACTATTAGTGCTACAGGTATTCAACCAGATGGAATATTGGCAATATTCAGTAATGTCTCCGTAAACACTGCAGCCAACAAGAGGATCTCCGTTGATTAATAAAGGTACGAATAGACTATATCAAGTTCTTTATGGCTACAATGACATTGGTCGATCTATGTCAACACTAACTATTGGTGCATATGTAAGGAGGACTGAAACTTATTAATTCAATGAATCGTTAGTACTTCAATATATTTCTCTAATCTTTAGAAATATTCTACTACAAACAATTCTAGTGTTATGACAACAAACGACTTTAAATGTGATTCATCTACTGCTCCAGTACTACAGTATCCTTTAACCTGTTGAACGCTGACATGATTTGATAAGAGTTCCTTTTATCACTCTAATTTCAATACTATATATATATATTGCAGCAAGTATTGCCTAAATAAATCGCACACATAAAATCAAATATTTAAAAAGAGAGAGAGTAACGAATTATATGTGAGATTTAGAGTTATGAAATTAGTATAACATGCCTATATAATATCATTCATTTATTGCCTGATTGAGTATCGTCATCTAGTTTTCAGCAACTTGAGATTTTCTCCTTGATTCAACGTGTTATTTTGATCAGGAAAGTTAAATAAAACGCAATAAATTTTATTAAATAAGAATTTTTCTAAATCAAACTAAGATAGAACTATTTAATAACCAGTAGCATGTCCATCTGCTCTTGGATCAGAACCAGCTGTCCAAACTAATTGATTTTCATCATTGTCTATTTTAGCAATAATTTGACCACGACCAAATATTGACCGATGAACTCCTTTAACTAATCTTACATGATGTCCATATGATTTAAGTTTTTCAATAACTTCTTCCGAAATGCCATCTTCTAAAAGAACTTCACTTGGAATATTGTCATCTGTACTATTACCATACGATGCATCGATACAAAATCGAGGTGCATCGAGTGCAGCTTGAACATTCATATGATAATGAACCATATTCATCAACACTTGCAAATGACCTTGTGGTTGCATAAATCCGCCCATAACACCATAACAAGCTAATAAATCACCATTTTCATTAGTAATCATCGAAGGAATTATTGTATGATATGGTCTTTTACCAGGTTGAATACAATTTGGATGACCTTCTTCTAAAATAAAATTACTTCCACGATTATGTAATGTAAATCCACAATTATTTGGTATAGCTGCTGTTCCAAATCCTGTATAGTTTGAAAAAATAAATGAACAAGCATTTCCTTGTGAATCTGTTACAGCAAAATAGACAGTATCCGATGAATTAACTGGTTTACCATGTTTTAAATTTTTATTAATAGATATTGGATTAAAATTTTCAGCACGTTTAGCTAAATAAGTTGATGATAATAATTCTTGAACAGGAACATGTTCAAAATCTGGATCACAAACAAAATAAGTTGCATCAGAAAATGCTAAACGAAGAGATTCAATTAAAACATGAAGATATTCAGCTGAATTATGTTCAACATTTTCTAATGAAGGAATTTTATTTTGTTTTTGAATTTGTTCTAATATTCCAATAGCCATAAGTGCAACAAGACCTTGTCCATTTGGTGGACATTCCCATATTCGAATACGTTGATTGTCATTTAAACCATATGAAATACTAATTGGTTCAACGGGTGTTGATCGATGTTCGGATAAATCTTCAAGTGTCATTAAACCACCTTTACTTTGTATTAGTTCTACAATAGCTTCAGCTATTGGACCTTTATAAAATCCATCTCGACCTTTATCAGCTATTTCTCGTAATGTTTTAGCAAGTTTAGGCATTGTCATTATTTGACCAGCTTTTGGTGCTTTTCCATTTCGAAGCATATCATTTCCATTATCTGATGCTTGTTTAATTGCTTGTTCTGACAATGCCCAACTATGAGCTGTTATTTCTGAAACCGGATAACCTTCTTCAGCTAAACGAATAGCAGGATTAAAGATTTCATTTAATGTTACATTTCCTGAACCAAATAATTTAATTGTCTCAATAAAAGCATCAACAGCACCTGTAACTGTAACTGCATTTAAATTATTGAATGGAATCTGTTTTTCTTCTATTCCCATTTGTCGAAGTTTATCTAATGTTAAATTTTTTGGACTTCGACCACTACCATTTAATGATGAAATTTTTTTTGTTTGATTATTATAATATAAAACAAAACAATCGCCACCAATACCACATGAACATGGTTCAGTAACATTAAGAGCAGCTGCCGTCGCAACAGCTGCATCAGCTGCATTACCACCTTTACGTAAGATTTCTAAACCAGCTTGACATGCTAAAGGTTGTGATGATGAAACAATACAATGTGTACCATATACGACTGATCGACGTGATTGAAAATTTAAATTTAATATATTCATTATTGGTCATTTTTTTTTTCTTCTAAAATTACAACACGAATTTATTTTAGATATCAGATGATGAGAAATATTATTTAATAGAATAAATGTTTCTCTTACATGTTATTATCTTATATATTGAAATAGGAGAAGAATTTAAAAAAATACTGAATTTATCTTAGATAACAAAATGCATCAAGTCAAGAAAGAATGAAACATCAAAAGATAAGACAGAAAAAATAATTGAAAGCATAATTTTCGTTAGCTGTCATTATTCTCTGATATTAGCTAGTTTTAATTGTAAATTACATCATAATGTAGAAAAAAAAAATGGCTTTCATATTTCATTCAAAAGAAATAATTTTGAACAATATTTGTGAAATTTGTCCCTATATAAATAAAAACATATCATATTGATATCTATCACTTGAAAACAAAAATTAGCTCATAAAATCTGATAAATAATTCAGTTACATGAATTTTATTTTTCGATCTGACTTTTACAATTGCACATCTCTTTTATTCAAATATCTTATTCATAGTTTCAACTTTACATCAGCACTAATGTTTTGTTCGAGTTTTATTTATATTATTTAACATATAAATGCATGAAAAAAAAAACTCTAATTCTAGTTAATCAACGAACAATTTACATTTTTTCTTCTTTATTTATGAATCCATAATCGAATCGTTTCAGTGCCAGTCAAGTTCTCTGTGAAAGTACGTGAATAACCAGATACCATCCATGTAATAAATTCTTCTTGGCTAGGAAAATGATTGTCCCATTGACCAAGTTGTAACACAACCTTTAACGCTTGAATATTGGCCATTCCATTGATAAGATTATCTATATTCAATCGATTATCGACGACAATCTGCAGAACTTCACATTGCTTGGCCAATGGTGAACGAAGAAATGCCACACATTGTTCACTGTTGAAACAGCGATCACGTTTTAGATAATGATGACTTTGCAAATCGAGTCGACGAATTGAATTACTGGTAAGATACAATGGTAGATGTTGAATGATCGATGAGCGCCAGTCAGCAATAGTCAACGAGTAAAGACGAGGTGCTCGATTGATCAATGTTTGCAATTGAGATAGGACAATATCATCATCAATGTCAGCGTCACTTGATACACTGAGAGAAGTCAATTGATCGAGTCGAGAAAGAACGGACAAAAATTGATCAGAAACAGGTAAATTCATTTCAAGATGCCGGATGTTATGAAAGCGAATATGAGATAGAAACAAATCATGTAATGTCGAATAATGCTGAATCAATGTAGTCACACGATTATAAGACCAATAGTCATCGTCACGAGGGCATGTTGATTTAGTGCGAACATTGGAGCTTTTAAAAATGTACGAATAAAACGAGAAGGCGTATGGTAAAGTATAAAAATAAATCAAGATCTTGTTATTGTCTAATTCCCAATGACATCGAGTAAACCACTGGTGATCGATAAGCCAAAATGGAGTTCGATACGAATCTAGAATTTCTTCTATTTCTTCTTCATTATTAACATAAAAAAACATCAAAAATCGGAATGTTTTCAATTTCGGCATATAATCAACAATAAATTGTTTCCATCGATGACCATTCATATTATGTTTTCCAGTTTGAAGAGTTAAAACAGTTAAATTGGGCATTTTTTTCAGTAGATTAATCGTTCCTTGAGTAAGATGATCGACGGCGAGCTTTAATGAAGTTATTGATTGGATTACATATGGAAATTGCGTATTGTTAGATAACTTGTTGATAGAAGCAGTCAAATGTTGAAGATTTGGTGTGCATCGAAATAATCGACTTAATTGATTAGAATTCAACGAAATATTTTCAATACATAAATGTTCAATCGATTTTGATCGAATCGTTGGAATAGAAAATTCAGATGTCGATCGGAAATGCAAGTCGAGATGACAATGTGTAAGTTTTGGTAAATGCCAAATACGATTGAGAACATCACGTAATGTCTTTTGATGAAACGTCAAATGACAATTGATCAAGCTGAAATGAGTAAGAGGATGATGACGAATTTGTAAGACGACTTTTTTCATGATTTCATTCGAGGATATATGATAGAGCGATAGTGATTTTAATTGAACGAATCGATTAACAATAAAAGAATGAGAGAGAAAGAGATCAATTTGATTAGGCGTGTCGTCGTCATCGGAAAGACGAAGCCCACTAATACGATCAGCAATCAAAGGAAGATTTTGTTGGCAAATAGTATCGAAATCGTGCTTGGATATTGATTGCAAATCAAGACCATGAGTTCGAAAATGGATAACGACAAGATTATTAAAGCGAGAATTGAGATGAGAAAAAGCTTGGAGTAAATGAACACTCTTTAGATATTCGAAGATGTCTAATAGTAGTTCGTTAACGAGATGTTCGAGATTCATAATCAACCGAAAGAATGTGTCAGTTCAGATCGGTTCGGTTTATAGTAAATGAAATTGGTCACGAGATTGAAATAATTTTATCTAGAATAAAGATAAACAAAGAAAAGAGAAAAGAAATGTTCTACTTGTGCAATTTCTAACGAATAGAAATAAATTACTAATATCACACTATCAAGTTATCTCTTATTCGCTGTCATGGCCCTAAAATAGCTGATCCGTGGTCTGGTGAATGATGACTAAGCACTCGTTTCTAAAACTTGGACAATTCAACACACTTATGCATTGTGTAATACACACGCTTTCTGCATATTAAATCGAATTTAAATAGATAAATTGAATAGAGTGTCGGTGGTATTGTTCTGACATTATTTAATTCTGCATCTTCTTTTAGTCTTTAGGCAAAATATGCTTGTGTTATTGATCGCTTTTATCTCGAATCCTCATGACGAATATGTCGGGAAAGTGTTGCTTCTTCTATACTTTTAAAACGTCGCTGTTATTTCGAAAAGTGCTTCGTTTTTGTAATGTTAAATTCAATTCAATTCAGCTTTCCTATTTCTTACTGACAAAAGTGAGAGATGAATAATTATCATACATTAAGAAAAAACATCTTGTCTGATATAATGTAACGAATAAATTTGGTATACAGATATTTTTATTGAACGGAATTTTACACGGAGATTAGCGAACGAAGATATTTTTCAAAACTGAATTTTTCTCTATTATCCATATTTCTTTCTCGTAGAATAATTCGTACAGTCATAAAATTTTGTTCGTCAACCAATTGATTCCATCGTTCATCTTCATATTGTTGAAATAGTTTAATCAATATCTGTCTTTTTCTATCTTGCTCTGGCTTTCCCGATGATGGATATTCGTGATTTAAATTCTCAAAAAACTTTCTTTTTTCATTATTGTAAAGTTTTGTGAATTCGTTTATTAAGCTTGGTATGATGGATTCCTCGATTTGTTTTTCAATCTGATCATAATCTTTCACATATTGTGGAAAATAATTTAAGTATTCTTGTTTTTCACCCTGTAGCCAAATATTTAAGCAGAATTGTTCGTGTTTATGTTCATTTTCTACTCCAACCGTTCGATAGTGAACTGTTAAATACGAACGACTTTTAATTTTAATACGATCATGAGTTCGTACATCACATGCTACAATGCCTTCGCCATCCATAAAATGCATTTGATTGACGTACTGCAAGCATTCGTTTAAATCTAAAAATTGAAATGAACGTGGTTTCGATACACCGATATCAATATCGAGTTCATCTAATGTCAACATATCACGAGTACCCAAATGATACAACATTGGTTTATCATATTGTATTACAATTTTATAATCAGGATGAACGCGTTCGAAAAAATATGCAAATCTTTTATCCAATTTTGAATAATCAAGTCCAGCTTCTTTGGCGGCTTCTTGCCATAGTTGTTTATTTGTTTTACCACACCGTGCATATTTTTCTCGAAATTGTTTAATATCAATACGACTATTGCTACTCACATGCCATTCATTTTCGAAATAATATACTTTAAAAAATGTGCCATCCATTTTTTCAGTAAAATGTGTCCAATGAGCTGTCTTCGTAGCAGCCTGTGGTTCATTGTAATTCCAAAATTTATAAAATGGTAAACATACTAAACGATATGGAGGCTTTTTTTCATAGATTGCACCTCGATTTTGTGCTAGCATCAATTTTTGCTGCTCTGTACCAGATTTCCATAGGCGACTATCATGAATATATTTAACACAAAAAAGTTTATCAGCTTCATCGATTGATAGATCATATTTAGTTTGCAGAAGTTGACGAGCTTCAGGCCATTCTAGATCGCCAATGATTTTTGAAAGTTGAATTGAGTCACACGTTGTTGTCATTTAAAAGTACACGAAAGTCACATTATTGACAAGTCTTCTTTCGTTTCTGTTATCGTGATGTAATGCTGCAGAAATGAAGCAATGGTGATGCAATAACTGTAAACGCTATGAAACACAATCATTTTTATTTGTCTAGGTTTTTTGACTCTGCAATCAATGCTTTAGATTTAGTGAGGTATGCGATGTGTAGACGTACGAGAATCTCAAATATTTGAATTTTAAATTGAGTTTTTTCAATTAGTGATGCATACTCTAGACCTTCATTCTGGGTTTCTCAATTTTTTTAGATTCAATTCGGCAAAATAAAACATTATGCCGCATTTTGTATCGTGAACAAATCATCAACAGACTGAGTAATTCGTTCGTTAAAACATAATAAAGATATTAAATAGTAGTCTATCGAAGTTAATAGGTGTGTCTACATGACATGTTTCAATAATTGATTTAAGAATAAAAACAATTTACGACATAAAGGATGCCTAATACATAAAAGTGTCTTGGAACATTCTAAAAGAGAAGTCTCACATGTTTTGAATTGTTTGTCAATTTCACGACCACTTAATATATTTTAAATGGTAGAAAGATGACATCGTAAATAGACTAAGTTCAGAGTAACTGATGACTTGTATATCACAGGAACTTTGAGTCACTATATAGATTAATAAATTTATTGCTTAAAATGAAATGCTAATGAAAAACATTGCCGAAAAGTGTTCAGCTCATTTTAAACTTGAGGGTGTGGGTGTGGGTGTGAATGCACTTTTTCTCTGAAATCACACCCATACCCACAAGCGAAATTTTAACTTATTTGGTAGTCGATAATTCGAATGTTTTGCAGTTCACAAAAACAAAATTTTCTTCTCTTATTCGCTTGATTATTGATAATTTACATCTCGATGATTTATAGATTCAAAATCTTCATTTGCCAATAACTCATTTGAAACTTTTTATTTAAAATCGAACGTTGGAATGTGCTCCTTATTGAGAGGTATCGAGTAATAGACAGATAATTGATCGGTGAGATCAATGTCCATTTCAAGCGGAAAAATGTCGTTCAAGTCAAAAATGAATTCTTTTCCCGTTCTGTCTATAAGAAAAGACAAACAATATACGCATGTCAACGTGTGTATACTGAATTTATATCGAACTAGTACGCCGTCACCGTTCAGAAAAGACATCCGTGCATACGCAACATGCTGCATGCCATACATATGATTACAAACTCCAAATATCAGTCATTTTCATTTTCCTATTCCATATTCCTTCCTTCAGAACATTTCATTCAAGAAAAACTACTAAGGAGCTCGTTGACACGCTTCCCGTATCTTCGCACCAACTATGAAAGTTTTCCATTCCATCGTGATCATTTTTACTCCTCAAATCTTCACACAAATTTTCCGATCATTCGTTTAACTAAATTTCTCCATGATCGAACTGATTCTGACTTTTTACTAGTGTTAGTTTATCGTGTCAAATCATTTTTCTCGTTGCATTTTTTATTATTCCGCTAAAAGTTCATTTTTCTGGTTTCGGTAGTTATTGGTCTGACGAAATATATGTGTAATATTCATGCGTTTGATTTATTTTGTTGTTGCGGAAGTTTTTCGACATTTTTGAGCTTAACGTCATTTTCCCGCTTGAAATGAGCATTTATGTAACCGATCAGATATTTGTCTAATCCTCGTCGTACGTGCAACATAGGAATGACTGTGACTAGTAACTGAAAAAGAATTTCTTTTGCGTTCTCTTTTTTATATAATGATACATGAAAGACGATAAAGACTACCGCCATTTACGAAAGCGATTTTTTTAGATCGACGAAAAACCACGCGAACAAATTTAAGTAATGTAAATCGACATTTTGTTGTAACGTGGAAATAACCTGATGAACTTACTCAAACTATTTACTTGTCATCCAGTAGCGTCATGTGGAAACTTTCGAGCTAAAACTTTCAAATCATCAAGACTAATGGTTGGAATCTCATCAGATTTCGAAGTTGAAGTTCAAAGAAATTATTAATAAACCTTAAGAACTAGTTTAAATGAAAGAGTGTTTTAGATTAATTATGCGATATGAGTAGGACTTGACGAATTCGACGATGAAATGTTCCTATGAAACAGTAAGTAAATCGACATCTCAGTCAAAAAACGATCGAACTTCCACGCATTGGTGAACAGTAAAAATAGTATAAAAGATTAGAAAGACTTTGATAATATTTCTAGTCATTAGTCTATATTTGCTCTTGACTTATAGAGTTATTTTCATTCTAGATAACAATAAGAAACGATCGATTTCTTATGATGAAGTTTAAATTGGTGACATCGAACATCGTGTTGTTAGTGGTTCCTCTATCAAGTTCCGATGCAAAAGGTCGAGGAGGAGGAGGAGGAGGAGGAGGATTTCGAATAAGTATAATTATTTTTGGAAAGTAAAAACAATAAGGAAAGTGTCTATATTCAAAATATAGGATCTTCTACTAGTTCTTCTGGTGACTCGTCATACAGTGGTGCAAATCCACTGCTAGGATTACTGCTTATTCTACTTTGTTGTGGAACTGGGATAGCTAGGAGAAATTAATCACCGTTATGAGACTGACGAACAAGTAAATCGTATTTGCACAAATTTATCAGAAATAGCTCGTATGCAACAGCTTCAAGAAATTAACGTAGGAATAAAATAAGATTTTTACAAAAGTTCATCACAATTGTATTTATTAGCAAATGGACAGTGTTGACTTCGACTGGTTAGCAAATGTCACTGAGTATCATGTAGTACCTATGACCGTTGTATACGTTCAGGAAGTATCAGCGAAACAGATTAAAGAAAATAAAGTCAATCAACACGAAGTTCAATCTTCTTATGATTTATAGCGACCAAACAGCGACGAAGAAAAATATTCAATGATTGCTCCTGTCAAAGATAATGAAACGTCACTATCGTTTACAAATTGAAGCGTTTATATCTCGTACATGTGCTTCTTTATATTATGTAATGTATATTCATATGTGACAAAAACACACTGATACGAATTCGAGTTCCTGATTCTTTTTCTTCAAGAATACAGGAAATTATCAATGATTTGTCACTCCACATAATACACTGCCTCTCGTATTTTGTCTTATTTCAAATAAATATTGTAATTCGAAGGTCAAATAAATTCCCTCTAGCTTTTATCCTCTATCAAAAGTATTATCCTTGTATGTCTTCTAAAACAAAGCACTACTTGATTGATGTTATTACTCATAGTATAATTGGCAAAATAAAATATAATGATGTTTATCATTGTCTAGTAAATTACAGTGATAGCTGGTTTTTTTTCTGCTGCTAGCGAGCTTACTTACAGAAGTCAAACATTGTGCATAGCACTTGTAATACGAAATTTATGAATTCTAATATGGGTACAATCATTCGTGTGTTGAAGTTTCAAGAAACAAATGAATTCTCTTTCTGAGACGTTGATTCTTCTGACGAAATGATTCAAAATTCAGCAGCTGTTGTTGTTTTTCTCTCGTTATAATGTTCTCTTTTGAATTCATCGTAAGAACCCAGGTCGAACATACACGGTCGTATACGACGGTAAATCGCCGTATTTGGCCGTATTACATGGCTCCGTATTACGATCGTAAATCTCCGTGCCGTATACGGCGAAATACGGCGCTTTACGGTCGTTTTTGATCGTATTTCACCGTATTACGACACGGAGATTTACGATCGTAATACGGAGCCATGTAATACGGCCAAATACGGCGATTTACCGTCGTATACGGCCCGTATTTCACCGTATACGGACGTCGTAAAGCTCGTCCTGGGAATCAATGCGAAAATTCTCACTCGTCAAAATTTTCATTCCGTACACATAAACATAGCTATGTGTTTATGGCATAGAGTAGAGGTAGCAAGTTAAATGCATTAATCATATCACGTACTGGATTTATCTATTTTTCCTTATCTTTTTTGTATCAATCATTGCCACTGAAGACTTCGCAAAACGAAATTTGTTTTATTTCACTTAATTTCTTCTCAGCATGAGTTGTTCTTCGTTCGAATCGTTGTGCTCAACAATTCTCTATGAAATTTTTGATTATCTATCAACTTATAATATTTTTCATGCTTTTATTAATCTCAATCATCGTTTAAAACGTAGTATTCATTCATATCGATTACATATTGATTTCCGTAAAATGTCTCGATTAAAATTTGATTTGATTTGTTCTTGTCTTCGACCTGAACAAGTCATTTCGCTTATTTTTTCTGATGAAGACATGGCTGGTCAAGTCGCTGTTTTTCAACGACACTTTCCCTATTTCAAATATCAATTTACTCATCTTCGTAGTATCAAATTTTTGAAAACAGAAAATATTCTATGTCATTTACCAGATTCAGTCACATGTCTTACGTTTCACGAATGTTTCTATGTTGATTCAAAACTGATAATAAATGTTATAGTCGGACAAGCGAAATCTTTAACTCATTTAGAAATCGATAGTTGGGATATTTCGCAGTTAACGAAAACAAAGTTTCCTTCTCTTACTCGCTTGGCAATTGATAATGCATATATCAATGATACTTCTGATCTATTACAGCGAAGCAAAGCGAAATTCGTCGATGTTCATTTATGGATTCAAAATCTTCATTCACCAATAACTCATTTAAAACTTCTTATTGGAAATCGAACTTTAACAAATTATAATGCAATATTTAATTTCGACTACTTATCTCATAGTCTCACAAATTTCACATTGATTTGTTTAGCAAATGAAACAAACTTTTCGTCGGAATTAATTCAACATTATCTTATTCGATTATCAAATTTAAAATCTTTAACGACCATTATAAGATTAGGGTTTATTGATGGTAAACAATGGGAAGAATTTCTTCGAAAAAGTCAAATTATTAAATTTAACTTTCACTTTATATTGTCAGAAAATGTTATTTTTAATCACGATGGTTCAAAGCTACTCGATTCATTTCGATCGCCATTTTGGCTTGAAGAAAAACGTTGGTATGTTGCATATAGTAAAAGATGCACGAACACTTATACACATATTAGCATCACTTCTGTTTCTAAATTTCTATCCAAGATTACTGATTATACTCTCGAAGATTATCCACCTTTATCTACAGTACCACCAGATCTAACACAGCGTATATTCTATTCGAGATGCATTGATATGTTAATACTGCATTTAGATGAATCAAAGATTCAAACAAATTATCTTTTTACTCGTGTAAATTTACTTCATCTGAATGGTTCTAAATTACCATCGATACATGATCTTGTATCTATTGTTGATCTTAATCAAATAAAAGAACTGGATATTTCACGTGTTAAGAATATATCAATTGGTGGTATTCATTTAATAATTGAGCATATGCCTCGTTTAAATCATTTGATATTTAAACATTTTATTCCACTATTTCAACCACCGGCACGTATCTATACGTTATCTATTGAAACGTGGCAACTTAAAGATGATTTTGATTTATTTTACCGTATGTTTTCGAATGTTAAATCTTTAAAAATAGATATAACATCGCTGGAAATGATGATTGAATTAGTTAATCGATTGAAATATCTTGAGGATATTGGTTTTTGGTATCCATTTGAAAAATATGCTCATTTTATTTCCATGAAATGGCTACGACGAAATATGCGACGTCTTCAACAAACCAATTTCACATGCCGAACCGATGAATATTATCCTCTTCTATCAATTGGAAATCAACGAATAAAACATCATCAACATTCAATTTTTTGATTCATTTTTTTCTGTAATTATATGAAAAAATTTTGTAAATGAAAATGGCTGCTTTTTAAAATCGAAATGAGTCTAGTGAAACTTGCTGTATCGTACTGTTAAGCATGAAAATGTGTCTTGAGGGTGTGGATGCAGCACCAGACAGAAAATCGATCGGTGGAATAAATGTTCACCTCAAGCGGAAAAAGCGTTGTTCAGGTCAAAAATGAATTCTTTTCCAGTTCTGTCTATAACAGAAGACAAGCGATATAAGCATAAGTCAGCGTGTCTATATTCAATTTTTATTGAACTCTTGTGTCGCCACTATTCAGAAAAGATATTCTTGCATACACAACATGTTCCATGCTATACAAAACTTTACAAACAACAACCTGAGCCATTTTCATTTTCCACATTTCTTCTTTCGCAACGATTCATTGAAAAAAAATCTTCTTACCAGCTCTTTGACATTCTTCATGCATCACTGCAAAATCTAGAAAAACTTTTCCTTTGATCGTAACGGATTTTGGGCGTCTCCTCTTAATGTAAATTTTCCCTACAGCCTTAGTATCGTGCAAAATCATTTTTCTCTTATCGCTTATATATGTATAATCAGCTTAGATCACATATGAACATGAGTTTGTTCTTCTATAGAAAATTTGCTATTTCATTGATCGAAAGCATTTTTCACTTGTATATTCATTTTTCTGCTAGCGATTATGCATGCATAATCATCCAATATCAAATACGAAAGCATTTCTTTTTCATAGGAAAAATGATATTTCAGTTATCTAAACCATTTTTCTCATTGAAATTGGCATTTTACCGCTGAATATTAGTTTTTACAGCGGTGTGAGGTAATCGCAGGAATGATATATTTTGGCTACTGTTTATTTGTTTGACGTGTTTATTCTAAGTTAAGTTTTTAGGAATTTTTGATCTGAACGTCGTTTATCCGCTTTAAATGAGCATTTATATCATCGACCAGATATTTGTTTAATCCTCGGGCACTGCAGTCTTTATTAATCAAAACAGTAAAATAATCTCGAAAAAAAACCATTGAAGCTTTCTCTTTTTGTTTTGCCACTGAAACTGCATTAATCCTACATTCTACGACAATATTTGCTAAAATCAATCAATAAATAAAGCTATATCTCTGTTCTGCTACGGCTGTGATACTGTGCAAGATATTACTCAAATTCTATCGTTGAATAGTATTCGGCATAACGCAAATGTTTGAAAATAAAATATCCAATGGCATTCATGATAAAAAAACAAAATATTCAGTTTTGAATTGAATGCTATCTGTTGACTGTAAAGATTAGTTTATGTATGTTAAAAATTTTGCATCAGATTATATTTTCAGTTGGAAATATAATCTGGTTAAAGAAACTGGATTAACGCCAAGAACAAAACAAATATTTTTTTATCCGACGTTTTAAAATAGAGACTGGATTGAAATCTGTCGTCTTTATTTCAATCAACGAAAAGAATGAAAGCGTTGCAAGAATTTTTCTTTATTCTCTTTCTTGTGTCTAGCTCGAATTGTCTTCCGTTGAGCGACTTCTTTCCATTTGGATCTCAAGTAAATGATTCAATAATGGATCAAAATAAAACTAGTGAAGGTCCTTTTCTTCTTCCCTATGGATTCACCTATTTTGACAATAGTTACAAGGAAATTTGGATTATTCGAAATGGTTTATTTTCTTCTATTCAGCTAAATGCCTATGTTCCACCTCAATCATGGTCTTCATTAAACAATAGTTTGGTTGTGGCTGGATTTTGGCATGAAAATATTTGGTATCCAGCCAACGATACTGGAAACATTATTTATTATCAAATTTACCATAACGAAGTGGTGTCAAATGGTGCTCGCCTTGTTTTCAATAAGGCAAGTGATTATGTCCGACAGTTTTTTCCTCAACAACGTCCATTCAAACCGAAAATGGTCATCACAGGCACTTGGTACTATTTTGGTGTTATGAATAATGGTAGCGATGCACAGAATAATACCTTTCAAATTGTATTATGTACAGATGAAGATCGCAGTTTTATCTTTTTTCTTTATCATGATCTCCAATGGGCTAATCCTTACAATCATTCTTATTATTATGCTCAAGCAGGTTTTCACAATGGCAATAGAAATGTGTCTGAACAACTTCCAAACTCAGGCACAGAAGATGTCGTCGAGTTAAGCAATGAAAGCAATGTCAATACACCAGGATTATTTGCTTTTCGTGTTGACGCAGAAACGATTCATGCAGGCGGATGCCACGCGAATACGTCCTTGGTTTCCTTTCGTCCTCGCACTAGTTCACAACTAGGTTCTACAGCTATCACTATTTATGGTCCATGTTTTACCAATCAAACAAAAGTTAAATGTCAATTTGGTTCTTCATCGTCAATTGTCGATGGATTTATTGCGGATGAATTTCGAGCTGTTTGTCTTACGCCATTTGCATCTGAACATGGACCCGTGCCAGTAAATGTATCGATTGACAATGGGCGAACCTTTATTTCAGCTGGTACTTTGACACTGACTCCGTTAAAATTTGGTTCCGATGAAGTAATTATTGAAACTGAAAGTAACGATAACTTACTTCATGTTGGACAATATATTAAATTAAGATGGATTTTCTCCGAAGTAATTAAAAATTCATTTCCTAATGATGCAAAAATAAGTATAGAACTATGGAAAGTAAGTCGCAATTTTCAGTCGCCATTACAAATAGATAATGCACCTATTGTACTTGCACAAAATATGAATCTTACTAATTCAATTCGTGTCCAATTACCTGCCAGTATTTCTAATATTACATCATGCTTCATAAGAGTAGTTGTAAAATTCAACACTCAAACATACACTGGATTGAATACAGGTTTACTCGTCGTTAAAAATCATCCAGCATTGGCTCGTGATTTATGTCGAAGTTGGGCTTTACAACAACCAGAACCATCAACATGGAATGAAAACGATCTTCTACCATGTCCTATGACACGTCGGCAGGTGATAGCCGCTGGTCGTTGCTGTTATGTACCAGATCGACAGTGTTCGCGTTTGAACTTGAATGCGAACAATTGCAGGCTTCATCAAGCTCGTTCTGGACGTAATGAATCTTCCGCTGTCGAATGCTATGTGTCTATAACTTCTAATCGGCATGGTGCTGAAGCAGAATGTTGTTATGATGCTGCCGGTACAATTATTACACGAGGTACCGGTGCAGGAACAGATAACCGATACGGACAAACCAAATCTCCTGTTCAACATTTTTTCTATGATACTTTACCATATTTGCAATGTTGTATGATGAATACAAGTATCGAAGAGTGTAATCTATATATGTACTATCGACCACCACGACGAGGTAGTAATACAATGGGTGAAAATGGTCGAATGTGGGGCGATCCACATTTCGGAACGCTTGATGGAAATTCATATACTTTCAATGGCTATGGAGAATATATTTATCTAGCTATTAGTAATGCTACTGCGCCATCAGCTGCTTTCAATTCAAATAGTTCATCGTTTATATTCATGTCACAAGTTCGAACTGGTCCTATAGCATCAAGCGAAGCGACAGTGACAAAAGCTTTTGCTGCTCGAACTAATAGTATCGATGATCAATCGATTAGTGTAACTATTTCTCGTCGTGAACAACTTGTTATACGTCGTGGTGATGAAATTCTCGAATTCGAAGATAACACTGATAGCTTTTTCTTTCCGGGAATGACTATCGCTCGACTTGATAGTAATATGAATGGCACAAGTAACTTCAGAATTTCATGGAGTATCGGTGTGACTATTGAAATAAGTGTAATTCAAATATCATCACCATCGAAACAATTAGTACTTAATGTAGCCGCGTCAGTTGCCGGAATTTTTCGAGGAAAAACATATGGTCTATTAGGTACTTATGATGGCATAGCAAGTAATGACTTACGCAGTAAAAATGGAAGTATCATAAGTAGTAATGCTACAATTGAACAAATACACAAAGATTTTGGTATTACTTGGGCTATTGACCCAACTTCCTCATTGTTCTACTATGAATCCAATCAATCTGCTCAATTCTTCGAACAAATGAATCGTGCATATCTTCCATCATTTACTGATCCATTATTAACGAATAACTCAACATCTCGTGAAGTTTGCGGCATAGATGCTGCCTCTTTACCTTCATCATGGGATATGGCAGAACGAACATGTTACTATGATTTATCGAAGACGAATGATGCTAATTTTGCTGAAGCATCTTTGATTGCTGGTACGAACGTTCTCTGGGATCGAACTTTTCAAACAAACCCACCTTCATTCAATTCAGCGCTTCCTATACGTATGAATTTGAGACAGGATGATCAAGTAAATTTAAATCTATCTGCATCGAGCGAATATCCATCGCACATTGTCGAATTAATTGCAATAGGTGCACCTGTAAACTCAACATTAAACCAAACTACAGGTATCTTTACATGGAAAGCTATTAAAGGGGAACATTATTTGAGTATTCAGGCTCGTGATAAAAATTCTACTTTAATATCGAAACATGATATCGATTTCAATGTAAAAGCAAAAGACGACATCAATATAAATTCTACTACTAATCGTATTACAGCAATGACTACGACTATAGTCGTAATGCAAGTAATAATCTCGTTCAAGAAGTTATGATTATCATTTCAATGCTTGGACTAGAAATTACTCTTCATTAATAAAAACGAACAACTTTATATTTTTCATATTCCAGAATATTGAATGAATATGTGAGTTCATTAAAAATTAAGACAGCGATTATTTTAGCAATGTTCTGTCGTTTTCTATTTCTTCTTGATAAATAACAAATTGCTTGATTTTATCTTAAAACAATGTTTCTGAGGAGAAACCAGAAATAATCGATGGATGTGTGTTGTTGTACAGATAGCAATGAGTCAGCATCGTATATATTCTATATGAATAGAACAGTAGAGATGATAGAATGGTAAGTATTTGATTTATGTGAAGCAGAAACGTGGAAGTTTAGCATAAAGTAGATTTGAATGTCAAGTGTATATTCTGATGGAATTAGTTTTATTCTTCTGAAAGAATATATGACTAAAGAAACTTATTAGACTTATTTATCGGCGCGATTACATTCGAGCCTTAATGAGAAGACACTGTTTAATTATTTGTTGCTGGTAAAAAAACTGAGAGTAGCACGGCAATATGGTATGTCACTGGTCTATTACGATATAAATTTCAACTTTTTATCTAATGTCAAGAAATCTTTGCATCGTAACATTTTCTATCGATATTTCTATATCTTTCATCTGTTATTCCTTATTAAAAGTAATCAAAATTAAAGATTTTCTGCTATTTTTTACTAACCTACGGAGACAATCGTCTGAACTGTCATTGAATCAACATTTTATTAAACAATTAATACACTTTTTGCCATTCAAAATCCTGCTGACCTTTATTTTATCGATATTCTGGCCTACACACGGAGCACACACATCATTTTACAACTTCTTTCCTATTGTCAAGCAGCGAGAATCAATATTGGATTCATTGTTTTTCTATTCGACTCTGGTACATTTGTTTCTTATTTTGTTATTAGCAGATGTTGTTAACTGTGGATTGGAATTGAATATTGTATGTCGGTTCACTGAGAAAAATCGTACTTTGTTTTTGACTGGTAAGTCCATTACAGGCAATATTGAAGTTGCAAATTTTGATAGCAAGGAATTGAAATTGAAGAGAGTCGATGCAGAACTGATCGGTAAGTTTATCTACACTGAAGAGGAGGAAGACAAAGATGGATTGATAACTACTTATCGTGATATATTCTTTAACGAATGACTCAACCTACATTCTTCTAATAACCAGGACAGTTTTATACTGCCGCATGGCAATCATACGTGGCAGTTTCATTTCTTTCTAAACGAGTCCTTACCGTTATCGCCCTCGTTTGATCAGGACAGTTCCGATGATCCCTTCATTCATTATTTTCTTCACATCGAATTTGTCAGGCCCGAATCTTATAGATGAAATGTGCGGAAAGATGTACCTATTATTGTTCAATATACCTCGCCGAGGTCCGTCACTGTTGAAGAGAGTCTTTCATTTGACGTCAACGTAACCAATCCTAAGCGAGTACTAATTCGACGTATATCGGTGACTCTCCTTCAACGTCAGGAACTAGGTTCTACCCCGGAAGAACGGTCCACTATTATAAGTGAATATTTTGAACACACTAACCAAATTCGAAACACACACTTCAATGAAAACTTTCAGCTGCATGCCCCGTACACGCTTCCGCCTACGTTTAAATTTTATCCGCCTGCCATTTATGGTAAATGGCCACTCTCTATATGCTACGAACTTCACTTTGAAGTTCATCTTCGTGGTTTTTTTACGAGCATTCGTATGAAATTTCCATTAATTATTACCGACCGTCCGGAAGATGACTAAGAAATTTAGTTGGCAACATAAACTACAACCATTCACGTTTTTCTCTAGATTAGATAAGCACTGCTTAAAATTCAAATGACCTCATGTTTCTTCATATTCATTCAAAAAGTAGAATACAAGAGCACAAAGCGTAGGAAAGCTTTACATTGTGACTAACTAAAAAACACATGTGAAGAGAATTAAGAAAAGACCTATCGAAATAGCTCAGTAGAATTCGTTTATTTCTTGGAGTAGAATCATTGTAAGAACACTTAATATATGTTTGTTTTCCTGTTTAAAAAAGTTGTTGAAGGCGTTATTCCCTACTACAAATATATCTTCGGTTTATTAGTTCTGTTTTTTTTCAACGCATCGAATATTGCTTAAAAGTATGCATCCAACATCATTACTTCATTTGTACAATGGAAGTTCATATACCTAATACGTACATGTTTACACGTAAAGGCAACATTTCAAAGCTGATACTTTCATGAATTTGTATTTTATTTTAAAATAACATAAAATTGCAACGAAACAATTCAAATGAATTAAGCGACGATAGTCACTCTAGTTTTTTTTACGATACGCATTGATTTTGAATAATAATTTAACAAAACATGGAGCGAGAAATCCAAAAATTACAGTAAGTCCACCCCACAGAGCTAAAATTCTTGAAATAATGATGAGAAAATTGCTCCTTTTTCCAAATGTATACAGGCAAACGCTTGGAGCACATTGGTTGTAGAATTCCAAATAGGATATTTCATATTGAAATGACTCAATAAAGAGCTCATTGACAAGCTCTTGAATCATAATATTCGTGGCAAATCGACTTGGTAACACAGGATCCAAAACTGTTACGTTGATGACATCTGAGATATATACCGAGGCTGTGCTAACGTAGACTTGTAATAAATTGATGCATGCTTGATTGTACAAACATTCAAGTGTTGAATTTAGCCATGTTTCGACTATCGAACAGCCTACACGAATTCCAGGCATTATCCAATATGCATTATTCATAGTTGAGGAATAAATACCTCCGGGTTGAACACAATGTCTGTGTTTTTCGCACGAACATGAATCATTCAATGCGCCGGCGTGTGCTCGAACAATAGTCTGATTGCTAGTGTTATGTAATGGCCAATACCAATTCAATAAATAGCTTGAAACAAAAGTATTTCCATTTGTAATACCTTGTACACGTTCTACGATCTGACATAATCGACTAGGATTGAGCATAATAAATTGATCGATAGCCGCATCCGTTACGACCTAAATCAGATTTATTGGCATCAATTGAGCAGTTATCAGTTTTTCAGGAAGAAATTTTCGAATAGCATTCTCAATAGTTATCGCCGAATGTCGGCACAATGTCGATAATGAGTTGAAATAAGCTGATCCGAGTACACGAATATCGGCTCTTTCTTCAACAAACCAAAATATATTGCTGAACAAAAAATCAAGCCACGCATCGCTCACGAAGTAACTTGAGCAAACTGTATGAAACACGGTACTAATGCGCATAAAGTGACTATAACTGATTGATATACCTGAGCAGGGACATTGCAAAGTAGAGGTATAGGATTGCATTAATTGATTGTATGTTTCTAGAGTAGGCTTTTCGATTGTTTGATACACCAATTCTTTCGATGAAATCGTAGAAATTATTATGATAAATATACCAATCGACAAAAGAAATAAATAGACTCGTGTTGAATAACGTTCGTGACGAATAATCTGAGTTTCATTTGATCCACTTTTAAATAAATTATATGTTTTTATTTCGCAGCGTACAGAATGCCAAACATTGTCGAGAACTACGCAATGTCCGTCATGTTCTACAATGAATTTGAAAAAAAAAACTAAATCCGTGCATAGTTTTATGAAATTTTGATTAATTCATAAAATATTCATTGGTGTAAAATCTGATTCAAGTGATAAACAGCAAAAATCAATTCGCTATACTTATGTTTCTTGTGAAAAATCCGTAAACATATTACAATTGAAAAATCCTTATTTTTTTTCAAAATCATTTTCTTTACTTACGATTAGGCGCTTCTTGGTTGTTCGGAAGTGATGTATTAGCTGTTGGCCGTTTGCTACTACATCGAAATAAAAATCGAACAACAATCAAACAAACAAATCCAAGAACAATATCAAGACCACCAAAAGTACCGATCATTGTAGTAATAAGATACAGTGTATTGTGTCTGTCATCATAGGTAAATGTGCAATAGGCCGGATGGCAAATTTCATAGAAAGCAGTGTAATTAATCCATGCCTGCCATTCTTCAATCATCATGTTATCGAGTAAAGTTTTTATTGAACTATTCGAAAAAAATCGACTAGGCCATGTATCATCAAGAACAGTAATGTTTGTGACGTTCAACATCAATTTCGTCAACACTTCATCGAGACAATTGGAATCATACCAGCATATGAGAGATGATTCCAATACTGAATCGAATATGAAACAGTTGAAAGATAAACCTGGTATTGTGCTTGATATTGAATTATGAGAATATGTTTCGATGTTGCATAGAGAATTTTGCGCGCAAAAACATGGACGACCATCATTGTCAGAGCCCGTATGCGTCATAGAAACTATTTCTGTTGCATTGAATTCACTCAAAAATACTTCCATGAGTACAGTATTTGTTTGTCGACCACTAATATATTGATTAGCTTGAATTACGCTGCTGATCAACGCAAAAATATCGTTGAATTCGGTTATAGTCGACGATATCAGTGTCTGAAGCAAATAATTTGCTTGAATAGATATCAGCTGCTGATGAAAAAGTTGAGAACTAACAAATATTGTCGAAGAAAATTGACGTATTTTATCATCAAGTTTTAACTTCGTTAATTCGCACAACACGGCCATTGTTTGAAAATAGGATGAAATATATATAGAAGAATTCAATGATGTATTATTATTTTCTACTGGACTTATACTTTCATACCACCATGGTTGAACGAAATTGCTTGTGCACACTTGATGTTGTATTGGTGTGACTTGAATGAATGTGTCATACGGAATCGAAATATTGCTGCAAGGACATTGTAGTGTATTTGGATATTGGTTATATAAATTTTCATACTGTTTTATTGACGGTGAATAGACTGTTACGTTTGTCCAATTTGATGATTTTACCTTGAAAATAATAATAATCATCATAATAGTCGTTAAAAGTATAATGTAGAGCCATGTAGAGATACGTCCACGAAGAATATCGAATGCATCATCTGAATAATTGTCAAAAAAATTCAACTCGATTATATATGTTCGCAGTTGATGACACCAATTCCAAAGAAGATTGCGAACAGTAATATCTAGCAAGAAAAAATATCATCGAAATTTAGTACAAGTTTTTAAATTTGGGAGTCATATTACTGACGTTTTCACTAACAATGTCTAGATTATCATTCAATTCATTTGACTGTGTTATGGTAAAGAGAACAAAACATTTTTAGTCTCATTGTTCTTCACAGCTTACTGAGGAAGGAGATAGTTCACTTGAGTCGTTATAAAATTACTCATTAACAATTCTGTAGGTGTCTTATTTAGTTTGTTTGTGAAAGTTGTGTTCAATCAAAACCATAGAGTTTTATTTTTCGTAGGTGATCCTCGATGCTTTTTTCTAAATTATATATCAAAGCCTTCCTCACTATCCTCTATCGACGGAAAGTCGAGAGAAAACAAATCTCCATTTCCGCTTTTACTATTCGTTTTTATTACTAATAGAGTATATCATAGTGAAGAAAATTTGAATTTGTTTTTGTAAAATATTTTTTATACTCTAAGCTATAACTTTCGTTCTAGGTTAACATAATATATAAGATGTAAGGAATTACTTGCTCGCTTTTATATAGTTAATATGTTCAAAAATAAATGAAAAATATGTATTTAATTATAAAAAAATTGAATCTATCGTAAAACTTACTTTCTTCGGGTTGAGAGCGATCTTGTCTTGATATTTTTTTTCTGATGAATAATAACAAATCGATTAAGTAAGGTGTAATGATGTAAAGTGCTACATTTAATCCTCCGTATAGAGCAATCAAAGTTGTAATAACATAGATGCAATCGAATCGGCGTGACTGAGTATAACTACAATATGATGGCGCACATCCATTATAATAAGAATCATAATTGGTTTGAATCTGAATGTTTTCAATGAATAATTGATCAACAATTGATCCAATGCTTGTTGTTAAAGAAAATCGACTCGGGAAAGATTGATTAAGTATTTGAACTTCGATCTTATTTGAATAGACCGAAATAAGTATATTGAGACAGGATTGATTGTAGAAACATTCGAAGGATGAAGCTAACATTGCTTGAAGTGGTAAGCAGTCAACAATGAGACCAGGCAATGTTTCATTGGCGATTAGAATATTCATATCGAACAATCCATTCGTATCCCATACGTCGTATAAGTAAATGTTACCAGGCATCGGACATGATTTCTTATTTAGACAAGTACAAATGGTTGTTGAACCTTCTCGTATATATTTATTTGCAACGATTTCAATGGATTCATTCAATTGAAACGGATAATCAGTTGTCTTTAGGATATAGTTTGTTGATACACCTGTGATAAAATCATTTATTTGTGTATTTTGCTGAATAATACTCAATGATAGTAAAAAAGTGTTCGATACTTTTTTTTGTGTTTCATTCACTGCTGCTTGAATATTCATTTGAATTCGATCTTTTGGCAAGACTATAGAGCTAATCAATTGTGATCCTTCGAAGTCATGAAACGCATCGCTAACAAAAGTGATAGAAATTTGACAAAGTGTCGAAATTAGTTGCCACATAGCACTCAATGTTGTTCTCATATCCATTGGCCATAGATTTCTATCAATATTTTCGAATAGAGAATCAATCCATTCTTGCGAAATAAAATTGCTCGAACAAACTTGATGAAATGATGTCTCAATGTGAGTAAATATTGCATAGGGTATTGAAATGAATTGACATTGACATTGAAGAGTGTCTGAATATTGTATTTGCAGTCGTTCATAATCAGAAACAGACGGCGATTGTATCTTTTCAACTGAGATTTGAGGAGTAAAAGATGTGTAGATGGTGAGTATAGTGAGTGAGACTCCGAATAGAAAAATAAATAGACGAGTTGAGAGAATTTCACGATGTACTGTTGTTGAATCTATGGATTGAGAATGATATAGATTGAATGAGACGATTTTTGCACGACATGAATCGTACACGAATCGTAATAGATCAAATATTGACATTATGAATATCGCTAGGCAGTAATTTCTTGTTTTTAACAATATTGAGAATGTATATATGAACAACACAACTTCGTCGTTTCATTCTATTAAATACTTAATAACGTAAGTAGGAGAAATGGAAAGAATATTTTTACATATGTTTCATAGTAAAGCAAGTAGCAATTTCCGTAATTACTTTTAAGCTTTTGTTTAGATGATTCACTGGCCTAAGTTGCTTGCCACAAAAAATAAGTAAAAAATATGAAACAAGGCATAAAATTTATTTTTTTCAATCCTTAATCAGATGATAAAAAAATCCAACTAATGACAAAAAAAAGTATATGAAGTGTGCACAGATACAAATAGAACAAAAATGTATAAACACATCTACACAATAAGCTTGAAAATATAGTGTTCAAATGATTTGTGTATTATTTGATAGTAATCATCCTACTGAAGTATTATTTATTTTCTACCAGCCGATTGACTTCTAGTGCGTGTTCGATCATTTCTATAATAAAAATACAGAATATTCAAGTTGACAAAAATGAAAAAAAATAGAATAATTTTTTCAATAGCTTTTAATCGTAGTCGCTCAGTGTACACGTACTTGTTAAACATTTTATCAATATTTATTTGCTTCAGTAACATGATCTCTCTGCTAGAATTCAAACGACCTAAGTCATAAGGCAATAAATAAACAATGTGATTAAAACTATTTGATTATATACTTACAAATAATTTTTATTTGTTCTAATGTATTAATAATTTCGCTAAGTTCAGTTTTCGATTTTGCATGACTAAAACACGAATATTATACTAGTTGTGCTAGACAAATGAATAGTAACTTACTAATACATATAGAGTAATTCCTCATCTCGCTTTATATCGAATCCCATATTAATTGAGCTCTGCATATCCTTGAAAGCTTCTGAAGAAGAAAAAAACTAAAAATATCGAAACAGTGGAAAAAAACCTACCTGTAAACAATTGTAATTTAAAGTATGATGTAGCACGTTGCTTCAATAAAACGATATTAACTTGACGTTCAACTGTGTTACTTTTATCGCCGAGGATCTTACTAATTAACTATAGAGAAAAAACGTAAATATCTATAACCAATTGTTTATTTACTTCGATAGCTTCATTGTAATTGTTCAAGCCAAATGCAACCAAAACTTGTACGTATAAATTTTGATCCATGTTTTAATCTAGCAAAGTGGAACTACTAAAGAGTGCAACACAAATGAATTCGTTAGAAAATAGAATGAATCTTGTGTGCATAGAATGCATATATATATATACATAAAGTACAACCAGTTACCAATTAGACGTCCATGTATATAATAGTCTAGTTGAGCTTGAGCTAAATAAAATTCATCTGAATGGTCAGCCGTCGACAGTGGAAAACAAGCAATGCGTTAAACAAATTAAAATGAAATGCACTAAATTAGCGAGCTCTGAAAAAATTAAATAAGTCAAACTTTTTTCAATATTAATCCGTAGAGAAAATTTTTTTTTTCGAATTGAGTTTTTAGTTTTTTCCGAAAAAGGTTTTATACTGGAAAATAATCGGATACAACTTGACCAATCAAATTACAGAGAATCTGGAATGGCTTCTGCTTGGGATAGTATGCAAAACAAACGTTGGCTTCGCAAAGCATTGAGTAACTGCGCGATTTCTGCTTAGCTAAATTAAAGAAATTTTGGAATTCGTACGATCGTATTGATTTTTATTTCAAATAATCTAGTTCTTAATTAACAAAAAACAACCAATCGATAAGTACAATTACAGAAAAGAAATATAGTACACGTATATTTTATTTATTAAACGCAAAACCGTTTGATATCAACTGTTTCATATGATGAAGAAAATACAATCAACATATTATTGAATCAAGATTTTCGAATAATTAAAAACTGCATAAATTTCAAGTTTTACTTCGCTTTGCTATTTAAAAGACGTACATTTGTTTATTTAATAAAACTATGCACAATCTTTAATGGTCAAGTTCAAATAGCATCTTAGTCACAATAGGATCAAAGCGTTTTTCAAAAGGATATCAGATTATTTTCACGTGAATCTTCGGTTTTTCAAAACATAGGAATATATAGGAAAAAGCTTGTTTTGTAGTCTATGAAGTATAGGATCCATTTTGAAAATACAGAAAATATGGTTCCGTTATGAAGGGTGCAAGAAAACGCTGAATAATTTGTGAGCATCGTATAATACTGGTGGCGTCTTTGAAACATTGTTGTAATATTTGCTAGCACGAAACTAAAGTAGTAGTGCAAATTGTCAAAGTTATAAACAAATCAATTTTGAAATCATTAGTCGATTATTTTTCTCCTAAAAATAGATAAACTATGCATATGATTATATGAAATATCTAAATCATGTGCGAATAAACTACGAATTGCTAAAAAGAATAGAAAAGAACATTAAGAATGATATAATTTCTCGATCTCATATATAATTATTATTAAATGTTTCAAAATCGTATTAAAGTATAAAAAAATCAACAAATTTACTACAAGACCACATGCGAAAATAGAGAATGACACTCTTTAAAAAAAAAGTCCTAAAACGGTATAGTTAACTACACTCCAGCAAGAATGACTTAATGACGCGTGAAATTATATTCACAAATGATTCAAATAGCATCAGAAGTTTCTATCAATCTTTATAACAAGAAGGCAAACAAGAGAGGCTTATTTTTAGAATAGTCAAATATAGAATACCATTACAAGTTTGAATGATCCCACCGTCTCTTTTTCTTGGCACATCATAGTTATCGACTAGTTTTGAATGAAAGAAAGATGCGTGAGAATCAACAGGTGCCGATTATTACTCGCAATAAAGAGCATGGTTTATTTTATTTTTTGTTAGAATAAAAAATGGATCTCTTTCTATTTATCATAGCTCTTCTTATTAACACTACTTATGCGGTTTTATATCGACCCGTCGTATTGATGCATGGTGTTACATCAACAGCTGCTGATATGAATGAACTTGGTGGTTGGCTTACCGCATCATTTCCTGGTATCTACGTTATTTCTATCGAAATTGGCAATGGGTATGAAGATTCTTTTTTATTACCAATGAATAAACAAGTAGAACTGTTTTGTGCCACTGTACTTGCTGATGAACATTTGCATGATGGCTTCAACATGCTTGGCGTTTCACAAGGCAGTTTAATTGTTCGAGGAGCTGTCGAACGATGTTCTTTGCCTGTTTACAATTTGATTACCCTGGTTGGTGCTCATCAAGGTGTTTTTGGTGATCCTCCTCTTAAATCACTTCCTCCTCAATTTTGGGATTTAATTTCAAAATATGCCTATGAAGAATCTGTTCAAAATGTGATAAGTATTGCAGGCTTCTGGCGTGATCCTTTCCAACTAGAAAAATACATAAATCGATGTCATTTTCTTCCTGACATAAACAATGAACGCGAAGTTCGCAATGAAACTTATCGCAAAAATATGCTCAAACTGAACGCATTCGTTATGACCTATTCAGACATCGATGAAACTATTACACCACCACAATCAGGTTGGTTTCTAGGCTATGCATCACATGCATTACAACCTGAAACATGGAATCAGTCACGTCAATTTACCGAAGATCTCATTGGAATGCAAACATTATCTGAGCAAGGCAAATTACACATGTTCATTGGCCACACACGTCATGCGGACGCTCAGCACGCTCCTGATAAAGAATTCTTTTTTCAAAATATTTTGCAATTTTTCAATAATACACTATCGTAAATGTTCGGATGTAGAATAAAATAACAAACTTAGATGCCGTCAATATAAGAGTTAAAACCAATGAGTGTAGATATGGTTGACAATTTTCATTTCGTGTCATAAGAAGTTGGACTTTGTGAAAAAGTTATGATGATCGTTTGAAGAACAAGGCTTTACTTTGTCTGTATTTATGATATTTTCTTTGTTCCATATTCGTTCGATCTTCATTGGGATTTCGAAGGATACTGTTACTAAGTTCAGTTACATACATTCATATAATTCTCTGCATTTTGTTTGATTTTGAAGGAAGTGTGGATTGCTCTGTATTTATCTATTCTTGTATCTGGTACACATTTAATGCTATTTAGTTCCTTTTCTGGAGCCCAAAAATCCTAAAAAAATAATTAGAAACTATCGGATTCAGCCACTTCCCTTCTTTATGTATGTATTACGCAATATGTATCGTAATCTTTCAGTAATTTGAAATTTGCATGTACACCTGATAAGCATAAAAATATACGTACTAGTAAGAGATATATGTTGCATAATTAATTAATTTAAATCAGGACTATGATTAATCTTGGAAAAAAACTTGTGGAATTGTCTATAATAGTCACTTCTAATGCAAATAACTTGAATCAATTCTCATTCAATATATTGCTTTCATAGAGTGAGTGCTTATATTAAAAATTTGAATAAAAAATGAACTGATGATAAACTCACTTCCTTCTTGAATCACCTTTTAATTTCGTGCAACGGACTAGTGTACGTATATAAAGTGTAGAATATGTATATCTCATGTATTCATTCAACTAGTAATAATATATGGATTTCGGCAGAACGCAAAGTAGGATCATATTACTCTTCATCTTCAATATGATCTTTATCGTTACACCTCTTACTCTTGCTTTCCGATGAAATATTGATGAGCTACTAACTGAGCTGCGATCAAAACCACTGGATGCTGTTCTCTTCTGGAACCCTGTTACACTACAAACCTGTGCCAATGATTATGACCCATCGATAGCTAACACGTCCAATCAAACTTGGCCTACTACAACAATTCGCGCTTTCGCAATTATTCGTGGTGCCATGTATGATTCTATGAATACTTTCAATCGAGCTTACAGATCTGTATTCTCACCCATAGTCATATCCAGGACAGATAGGTATCAGAAGCAGTTCGCCATGGAAGATGCCATCATGGAAAGTTCCTATCAAGCATTGTATGCTTTGTTTGTATCCAAAATAACGACCAATCTTTGATGAAATCCGTGAAGCCCATTTTAAGATGATCAAAAGAGATATGTCACCTCGATCTGGAATGAGTCGGGGAGTTACTACTGGTCAATTGATTGCATCACATATTTTGGATACTACAAAGAGCGGTCGAAGCGAGAATAGAATAGTATATACATCAATCAATGAACAAGGTTATCATCAACCAGATCCAAGTCATCCGAATCAGGGATATCTAACTCCACATTGGAGAAATTTGAAACCGTTCCTTTTAGATGTTGGATCACAGTTTCGTGCTTCAGATATCGTTCGTGAAACGCCAGCTGTCCATCTACTATTTTTGAGCTCCATGCTCTATAAGAATGATATCAATGAAGTTAAAGCATTTGGAGGCAGAGCCACTTTGAATCGAGTCAGTGATCAAACTGAGATTGATAGCTTTTGGGCTTACGATGGTGTGTCCAAGCTGGGTGTTCCCCACGTTTGTGCAATCAAATCGTTCGTGTGATCGTTTTACAACAATATAATTCATTGGAAGATAATGCGCGACTATTCGCTCTTGTTAATTATGTTATGGCTGATGCTGGTATTGCCGTATGGGATAGTAAATATTACTACAGTTTATGGTGTCCTATTGTAGGCATTCGACAAAGAACAACAAGTAATGTGGTTGAGCACAATTGGCGACCATTGGGAGCTCCAACAAATGGCACTGATGATAATTTCACTCCGGAATTTCCTTCTTATGTCTCCGGCCATGTAACATTTGGTTCAGCTGTGTTTTACGTTTTGTGGCGCTTCTACGACGCAGATGATATCTCGTTCGAATTTCAATCAGATGAATACAATGGTAAAACTGTCGATTCAATTACACGACGAGCACGCCCAGTGAGAATACGAAGATATCGATCATTCACAGAAGCAGACACGGAAGATCTCTTGAGTCGAACCTATCTAGGTGTTCCTTGGAGAATCGATCAAGAAGAAGGACAATCTATGGATCAAAAAGTTGGATCATTTGTCTTTGACCAGTTGAGTCAATGAAGACTTCTTTTTTTTTCTTGCGAATGATGGGAAGCAATGTCTTCACCGTCGTCACGATCTATTTACTCAATAAAATGAGAAAAGAATGAAAATTTCAAAATAAATAGGAAAAAATAAAATGGGCAGTGTTGAAATATAAAAAAAATAAAATGATATAGATAGAAGCATATGTCTCAGTCTGTTTAACAAAGACTAGAGGATATCATGCCTACAACAAATCATTTATAAGTAGTGAAGTAAATAATTCTGTAAATTAAAGTTTCTTCAAAAGGCTAGCAAAAGTAGTATATTCGATTAGTAAATGTCTCACTTGCTGATAAAGATGTGATTATCCTATTAGTTGATGCAACTTTTGAGTTTCACATGTATGCTTTGTTAATTTAAATATTTTCCTTTAATGTATAGCGACGATCATTATGCAACTAAAGCCACAACTCAACAGCAACGTAAGCTTTAAATTAACACTTTTACACTCTTACTAAGAGTTACTTTCAAATCAATTATATATACATATATACCTAGGATGAAAAATTACTGGTAGTATGAACTATTCGGGAGTCTACCATACAGCATCCATACTAGCAAATCTTGAAGGTGTGGATATGTGTGAGGCTGAAAATGTGAACGTATGTGAGCTGAGACAAAAGAAAAATAACTGCTTCGAGACGACATCTATCACCCCACACATACCTTCACTATCATAAATTAATCTTTCTCATATTTATTTGCATTGCTTTTATTGATTGGTTGTATCAATTGAAATAAATAAATAAATAAGTAAATATCGACTTATCGGTTTTAGAGTAGTCGTACATAATTTTAATAATCATTGACTATCGTATTTTTCTGTTATAGTTTTCGTTTTGTTCATGCTTTGATATTTATTCTATTTCAAATAAATATACAGATAAAATTTTAACATCTGTCATACCCAAGAACAAACAAACATAGACTTGCGCAGACGCATTTTTTTCGTTCGGTTTTTGCAAATAGAAGTTCGATTAACGACTAGAGAATATGTAGTCGGTTGGCTTCTTTTAGGTTCTTTTTTCGAATTTCTTTCAATCTCTGCATCATCTTTAGTGAAACATGTGAATCTTGAATTGGTAAATGTAAACAGCGACGTTATTGTATTTTCATTAATACTAATGATAGAAATCACTGAGGTACATCAACACTGAGTAATAAAAAAGAATCAATCTGAAATATATTGCCATCACAGTAATTACTTCGAAAGCTATGTTTTTAGAAGAAACCAACTGTTGTGAGTTACGATGAAAGCAACCAGATGCCTTTTGATTTGTTTTGCACGTAGCCTCTCAAAAGAGATACTTAAGGGACCCCCCCCCTCAGAAAATCGATTTTTTTTCACAAAAATCTATTTTGAGATAAGCACAAATACTGAGAGCCCAAAGTGTCCTCTTTGAGATTATGTGCGATTTGTCACGTTTTGAATAGTTTTTGGCGGTGAAAATAGCGGTTTTCTGGAAGCAGTAGTAGAAATATATGTTTTTTTTCAGAAATTTTCCTTAGTTACGGGGATGTGATATTCGTCCACAAACTGGTAGATTTTATCTAATGAGAAACAGATACGCGTTCTGTTATATTAATTAATTAGTGAAACGTATAGTCATTTCTACTTAAAATCCTGTGCACATGACGAAATTTCCGTATAGATGTCGTGACAGTCATAGTGAAATGAAAAATTGTTTCATCAACTTGCTTATTCGTTTTCTCAAAATCACTTTTTTGAAGAGTTCGGAACCGATGTCTCAGACTGTAGAAGAGTTAGCGAGCTACTTTTTTTTTAAATAAAAGAACAGACCTACAGTGTGGTGCATAATTATAAGACCACTTGTTCTCAAATTAAACTAAATGAAATGAGCCATATTTTTAGTGATTTCACATAGATGAGACATAAGAATAACGCTATAAAATTTTCAAGCGGGAGTCTTTTTATTTTCCTATATATTTAGAATTACCTCCATTTTGATGGTGCATAAATATAAGACCACAGGAAAAAAAAATACAAAAACACCAAAGAGAAAAATATCAATATTTGGTCTTGGCTCCATTTAGCTTAATAACTTCAAAGATTCTTTCAGGCATCGATTCGACCAAAGCACGGAGTTGTTCGATGCTAATTTCTTCCCAAGATTTTATAATGGTAGTTTTTAACTGTTCTTTTGTTCTAAATTGTTTACCTCCTGCATAGACCTTCCTTGCTAGTA